ACTACTGTACAGGGGCCCCGGTCAGAGACAGAATGAAATCACAGAGGGACACGCATCATGTTTGCACATTCTTAAGCCCCCCAAGGTTACAGGATGGTTTCCCAGAAACCAGTTCCACCATATAAGACCTCACTGAAAACTCACCGTTCAAGTTTGCGCACCCTTTTTGCGTTCCTATTTCCAAACTGCCTTTGTTTGCCAAGACATTGTGTGGTTCTGGCGAAACTACAAAATCTCACAGGATATAGCCTTTAAGTGGCAACATTCACCACGCACGCTGGCTCCAGATGCTTTTTTGGCCAACAATCTTGCAGACGCATGTGGGTATGGTTTCAATTGTCAACTGGAAAAAACATCCGCACATGCAAAGCCTCAAAGATCTATACTGCGCCACCGCACCGCACTGTCGCCACGCGGCTGTTTCACGTTGCTTGCTTTAAGCATCCTTGCGCATGGCACCTAGTCTAGCCCCGCGCCGTCCTTCCGCAATTGCACAACATGTTGCGCATCGGCCGCTTCTGCGGGGGCAAGGAAGCCCGTGGGCAGAGAAGAAACCCCGCAGGCTGAAAAGAAACGCCGGCAGCTGGGTTGAATAAGAACCTTCATGGGGTGGAAAGGAAACCCTTGCACGGTAGAAAGCCAGGCAGAAAAGAAACCCCTGCAGGGCAGAAGAGAAACCCGAGCAGGGAGGAAAAGAAAGCCCTTCAGAGTGGGAAAAAAAGAACTCGGACGACTGAATAAGGACCCTTAGCGGTATGGAAAGGACGCCCGTGGATGGCAGAAAGGAACCCCCAGGCAGGCTGGAAAAGAAACCCTGCAGGGCAGAAGGGGCGCGCAAGAAGTAAGTAGAAAAGAAAGACCGGAATGTGCCTGTTGGGTTCCGCCACGCTGTGGTCAGAAATAGAATAAACAGCAACTAGTGTTCCGCCGTGCTGTGGTCAGAAGCAGTGCGAGGGAAAGCAAAAAAACTGCAGGGGGGAATTAAAACCCAGCCCCAAACGCCTGTAAACATACATTCATCGCATGCGCCAAGAATGCAACCGCTCCCCTTTCATCACAAGGATCACATCAACCTTCCCGCTCCAGAATGCCCCCCCATCCAAAAACTAAGCAGTCACCCCTCCTCCCCAAACCGCCCAAACCGCCCACTGCTCCCCACCGCTCCCCGCTCCCTTCGGCCGCCTAGAGAGCAGGTGAAGCCCAGGCGGGGCTCCGGCGCTAAGGACCCGGTGGCCGCCAGCAGAGCCTCTGCCAGCAAGTGCCGCGCTGCCTCGGGCGCCACGGTCGACCTGTGTCGAGTCGGAACCAGTGCTGGCAGAAGCTGCGAAAGGAGCGAAGGCGGCCTTCCATGTTTGGTTTGCCAACCAGAGAAAACCGGAGGCATGCATGACCGTCCAAATGCTGCATTTCGACTGTTGGCACTATACCTATACCCTCAACAAAACGCTGAAAACCCCACGTGCCACCCAGTCATCCAGCTGATTCCAGGTTGCTGGTGCATCTCCCATGCGTGTCAAGTCCATACCTGGCGTGGACGTCCCGGCTGATGCCGGACGAGACAAGGCGGTTGTGGCCACCCGATCCGACCCTGCCAAGGTTAGCCGAGCCTCATTCGTCTACAACTTAACAATTACAAACAGATGTGCAAGTCTTGTAAATACCATCTGATAAGTAAATACACATCTGTTCTTTGTGCAAGTCTACCATCTTTAATTACAAGCTTTGTAAATACCAATCTGATACAAGCTTATACAGTTATTCGATGCAAATCTATGCAAATCTGATACAATCTCATGGTTCCAGCCCCACCTGTCGATCCTTCACTTCCATCTGATCGATCCCTCCGGAAGCTAAGCGGTCCCGCTTCGCCTTGCATCACCGACGCCAGAATCTGCCGCCAAAAGAGCTCGGCGCCCGGCCAGGGCGGAGCTTCCCCATCGCCTGGACGGAAAACGGAGCATCCCACAGGTGCGGAGCATGTCCATCTCTCGGTGTTTTTGGGTGTACTCTGAGGTTACTGGAAGATGTGCTCCGGTGTCAACACATGGGTCACCTGAAACGCCAGGAGTTCCCCGTATGCCTGGTGGCCTACTCCGGGGGACCAGGAACGGCACAGTGCGGCGACGTCGCCACCTTGACCTGGAAAGCTCTCGGCAAGCTACTAGTAGCTTCTTGCTCCTGGTAGCGATGCCCTGTGTTCCTAGGGATGTGTTCATGTGTACAGTTCTTGAAGGATTTCATATGGCTCTGGCTTGATGAATGACTCATATGATCTTTTCCACTGGGTTGAAACCAGCAGCAGGTTTGTATGGCGAGGGGCCTCACTTTTGCCCTCAAAAGCCACCATTTGCGGTGAAAATCTTGGGGGGACTGCAACAGGACCATTCTCGCCAAGCTATGCTAAACCAGACCTTCTGTGAGGATAAACTAGACCTTTGAGGATGTCGTAGATTGAGGGGAAGGGATTGCTGTTGAACATCTTCTAAGTCCCAACACAGTCGAACTCGCAAAGAAGGACATGTTCTTTTGAGAAGCACTTGCGTGCCCAGGGCGAGGACGGCCTCTTCCCTTTTCTAGGCGACATGAACCTCCATCTACCAAGCACCGGGAGACCCGCACAAACCGGTGGAAGAACCGCCCGTTGGGACCCGTTGGGACCCGCCATTTCATCGCTCGAGACCCGTTGGGACCCACGACGCGACCGCGACAGCCTTTGGCTCCTGGTGCGTTCCATGGTCCATGGGGGCACTGCAGTGGCTCCAGCGCGGGGAGCGCCGCTGGCAGCGCCACAGGCCGCGCGGACGACCGCGCGGCGGCAGACCGCGGCGCGAGGAGGCTGAAGACCCCGAGGCTGAGGAGGCCCCTGAGGTCCAGCGCTTTCAGCATCAAACCATGCTGAGGAAGCTGCAGAGGGCGTGAGGACTTGAGAGTGTTCTTAAGAGGTGTCCCAGTCTTGGAAGGACCCTAGTCATCACTTTGCATCAGAACTTGTTGCATCAAGAACTTCAGGGGCTGGATCTAGGAATCACCCTGAAATGGATGGCAATTGATTGTCATGCATGCAGGTGACGCGAAACTAAGAACTCCGTGGTACCCTTCGCAAACAGGATATTACGTAGTCTTCCTGCTCTTTCTTCCGGACATCGTGGCTGCATGGCGCAAATAATCTGTGACATGTTGTCCTTGACTGATTATAAGCAAAGAAGCTTGAGCCAAACATGCCCAAAAAGCATTGCTGACTGCCATCTGATTTATCAGCACCGCCCTTTCACACGTCTGCTGTCTGCTCCTGTCGCGATCCTGGCCATGCGCCACACTTGGATTGGAGTGACTGGCCATGTCTGACCGTGCGGTAAGAAGCAAGTCGGTCTCCATCACCAAGGCAAGGGCATACATCAGGAGCAACCTGCAGGTGAGAAATTCGCTGAGTCATCAAGTCACGGGATGTGTGCTTTCCCAAGATGGCTGTGGGTACCCTGGTTCCTGAAAATGAACAGACTCCTCTATATCAGGTCTACAAGGGATTTGGTGGGGGAGGTTTTGACTCAGAGCCAGATCTTCTCACTGGCTACGCCTCTGCTTGAAGAACCTGTGCTGCCAACGGGGTGCAAAGCCAGGCTCTCCACATCCCAGAAAAGAACAGAGCTTCCAAGAGTTAGACGATCACGGTTCCAAAAAAACATCAAAAAATGAAACATATTTAACTATCATGCACCAGCACCCTCCAACAGGTCTCCTCTGGTGGCTTTTGGAGACTTAAAAGTCGCAGGTGGTGACCCGTTGGCCTGTTGGAAGGTCCTGGTATATATAATGCCTAAATCGTCCCGGATCCGGCTTGACCAGGTGCGGCTTGACCAGGTCAAGAATAAGGTCTGCTCAGGCTGAGAAAACCTCTGAGCCTGTTAAGGGACCACCTGTGGTGGCTGAGAAACTGGCAGATGAAACCTCAGAGCTTCCCCCCAATGCCCCGCCTCCAAGCGGCCGACGCTGAACGTACAGCACCGCCGTGAAGCCCCGGCGCCCGGGCGATCTATTTAAAGGGTCAAGTGGGAACTTCAGATCGAAACGTGGAATCAAGAACACCAAGATTTACCTCACACATAGGCCAATTGGATCCAATCGACTTTCCTCTCAAATCGAGTGTGCCATGTTAGGCCTATGATCTATGGATCCTATGGGGTCATCCAGGACTTCTATGGGCACATCATTGGGGTAACCCAACCCTTTCCACCCCAAAACACACTCTGCAGCCTGAACTCACGGCTCAGCTCGTGAAACGGCCGACGGTCTTGACCGGGCCAACGGTCTTGACGGGTCGTGGACGGTGGAGGGTGGCGAGCTGTTTGTCTCGTCTGTGCGAGCTGTCTGTACGGGTCACGATGAGTCGTCTCATTCCAGCTGAGCTGAAAAAGTGCGGGACACGGCCAGCCAGAGGTTCTTGCATGTTGGGGTTGTGACCGTTGTGACCGCATATTCTGGATGAGCAAATGAGAATCAAATAGCATTCAATGTGAACATATTGCGACCTCTCTATGTTTCTCATGGGGCCACCCACACGTCCATGGACATAGGGAACCCCTGCACCAGTGGGTTGTGGTCTATGCTCTATAGACATTCCAAACGGGGCGGGCTCGTTCTTCGACATGGACCAGTTTCAACCACACTATATACATGAATGCAGTGTTCCCAACAGAAGTAGCGGGTTTTGATCGGTTCAACCGCCAAAAGCCGATCGTGGAATGCGGTAGCAGAGTCACCCCAGAAGGTTGTAGCACACCAGCACGAGCCGAGCCTGAGCCTTGAGCATCAGCCGTGGTCCGACCAAAAGAACATCCTCCTTCTACCCACTCCATTGCCACACTGCCATGAACCCTCATCAATCCATATCAATCCTCAAGAATCACCACACTGCCGATTCTAGGGAGGTTGACCAAAAGCGAAGCGGCCCAGTCCATCAGGTGACTTTTGATTTCGATTTCACGAGGTCCTGGTCTGGCCCATTAGCCATTGAGCGTCAATCCGTCCCAGAGGATACTCTCGTAAAATCCACTGTCGCCCTTCTTGGTCAGCCGTGCGGCCTGCCAGCAACACCGGCAGCGCTTTGCGAGCACGGTCGGCAGCCCACGAAGCCCGAAAGGGGATCCTTTGCCCACACTCCCTGAAATCATGGGGCCAACATGGATGTCATGGTGTCAGTTCGGATGACCATGGACTCCAAAGACCCAAAGTTTGGTGCTGAACTCACTCCATGGCTTCGTTTCGATGATTTCAACTTGAAGTATGGTGGTTCAGCTTGGGTGTGTCCGCAGTTCGGACAGTCCATGGTGGCGTACCCGTGGGCGTCCTTGTCCGGAGTTTCATGTGGCAAAAAAAGGGCGTACCCTGTCTTTATCCGGCAAGGCTCCATGGCAATGCTCCAGGAGTATGTCGACTTCATGTAAAGAAAGGAGAGTACTGGTGACGCATTTGTCGGCCATTTGTCCAAAGAGACTCCTTCCTTTTTCATTCCCCGTCGTTGCCCCTCGTCTGCGGTCTATATGATCCTCCCGTGGAATCCATGTTCCTTTTCGACTCCCAACAGTGTCATGGCGGATGCGACGCCGCCATGAGTAGAACACCAGCCTCACAAGTGGTGGCTGGGCTTGGGCACATCAGCCGTTCGCATCACAAGCCACTTGGCTGGGCGCATTATATAAAACCCCCAGCCAAACTGTGTGTGTGTGTGTTAGGTTGGTCTTCTTTTGAATCTTTTTCCATCCCAAACCGAACCGGTTCACTCTATGACCCGTCCCAAGAAACCAGCATCTCCCATCCTCCGCTCTGGCGGTCCGCGCTCGAAGCGGAACCCGCGGCCTGGCCTTCGCGGTATGCCAAAGGCACTGCAGGGTCTCGATATTGGCCTTCCGTCGACCGTGCGTTCACCAGGCAAAGTTTGCCGTGAGATGGGGACTTGGGGGCAGACCGGGCTACAGACTACGGTGCTACAGAGGTGCTGCACTAGCGCCCTGAGTCGCAATGGGATATGGGATATGGCCCGTTTGTAGAGGAAGATGGTCCTGAGGTGGTCGACATTGCTCTGTGTCTACCTACACAACCCATGTGACCCCTGTTTTGACAGGAAGGGGCCGTATTTTGTGGGGGTGGTGGTCCAAAATCGAGGTCACGACTGCATGACCAGTATAGAATCAATCTATATAATACAGTATTATGTAAATAATGAGAGTATTTCCCATGCAATCAGACCAAACCGCTCCAGGGTCCAAGCGTCCAAACCGCTTGCTGGCGACCAGGTCCCGCCTATTTTTTGTCCGTCCCGGAAAGGCAATCCGATTCCAACCACCATGAGTTGACTGGTTCGAATCCCGAACAACCCGGGTTTTACGGAGGATTTGACCCTCGTTTTACTGAGGTCCAACCAGTTTTCTTGTTCAATGATCTTTGGGTGTTTGGTTCGGAGACGGCGGCTGGGTTCCAGAAACCGCCAGAAGATGTGACCCGATCTGCAAAGATCCAGATCTTTTTCCGGATTCGGGTTGGAGACCAGTCCTAAGATGTTCCAGCCCCAAAATCCCATCGGGATGTGTTGAAGGTCGTAGATACAAGCCTCTGTCTGAGCTGGACTTGATTCTAGGGTTCTTCTGGCCTGGATTGTGGCCCCATCAGCAGGCCCCATCAGGTCCCTGCCAATGGGTTCTCTCAACCTTCCCGTGTTACCAGTGACTGGCAAAGAGAACCTGTCTGTTTGCAAGGTTAAACATAACCCCACTTGTATTTGCTCGAGCACCGTGGCTGTCCGGGATAGGTCAAGGTCTCCTAGCTTTGACCCACAGCGTCAATGGCCTTCCTGCCAAGTTCCACCGGGTCCTATGAGACCTAAAATTGTTCATTGGCAGGTCTGTCCTGCAAAAAGCACTCCACCGCAGTCGACTCGGATGTTGCCTGAAAGAAGCCCGGCTCGTGGTAGCGGATGTTGTGCTTTCGACACACCTCCTTCACCAAGCTTCTTGCTTCGCCTGAGCATTGCTGGCCAAAAATCGGAATCCAAACAGAACACAGACAGCCGGAAAATAGAGCAAAGGGCTGAGAGGTGGGAAAAGGGCTGAGAGCTGCTGGGTTCGGCTTTTGAACCGTAGTTTGCAATACTTAGCACATAGGGGTTGCACCATCTTCACTCAACCCGTCGTACACTCTCACAGACGATTAGTCTTGCACCATTTCACCATGGCCCCTCTGCGAAAACCAGGTAACCACGAGACTGAAGCGATGCTAGGAACTGGGGTAGGATAAGTATGAGAAGATTTTCTGGCACCCCCAAAACATCCGACCCACCTTCTGGCTCGCACACCATCCATCACCATCCATCACCACCATCCCAGCTTTCCTTCTGCCATCCATCTTGTGTCGGGAGACGGAGGTTGTGTCGAGGAAGTCGTGGAAAAAGGTGGTGCTCAATCTGAAACTGAAGGCCGATATGAACCCAATCCAGCCTGAGCGGCGGAGCGGCGGAGCGGAAGGAAGGGAATTCTGGGTGTTGTCTGTTGTTTGGTTGGTGCATTCACCTGGTCAGTTCGAGTAGATAGTACCCAGTGCGGGGAACTAGCCACCCGAAAGCCACCCATTGGGCCACTGTCGTGTTTGAAAGACCCTTACAAAGACCAAACCCTGGATGAGGAGACAGTTAGGAGACAGTGGGGGGGGCACACCATGTTGGAATGTGTGTCCACAGCACCATTTGGGATCGTCCTTGCCAATCAAAGTTCGGTCTGGTCTTAGACTGTCTTGAACATCCACCGATGTCACAGAGGTCGCTGCCTTTGCATAAAAAAGCCTTCCACCCACCAGGAGATCTCTTTTCACAGACCCCTTAGGCTCGACTTGGGGCTCCAAGCACTGGGGGCGTGTCGAAGTTCATCGTGGTCTTCAACTGTGTGATGTACCACTCATCCGTTGCATCGTTGTAGGCCTGATGCGAAGTGGCAGAAGTGGCTCGTTCGGCTGGGCATGGCCCAAAAGTACTGAGCAGAATGGAACCCATGGAACCCATTCTCCGGATGGATTCTCCCCTCATGACGTTGTGCCCTCTACTCTGAAAATTCTGAAATCACGTTGCAAAGAACACCCCCCTGAAGACCTAGGCTGAAACCCAAAGCCAATTACCCCAGAGATTCCACGGGCTGGCCAAAGGTACGAGAGGCCAGTCTCTGTCCCTCTGGCAGACCCAGCCCTCCAAAGATTAACAAAAACCTCCTCGGAAATCCAGTCCTGAAGCAAATGCTTCCATGTTGTGGCCATGGAAGTGGTTGATCATGACACATGCATGGAAATGTCTAGGTCATTCCTGGTGGTGGATTCCAGGTCATCCAAAGAGTTTCAAGAATCCAATCCATAATTCTCCCAGCGCAGCCCAGATCGCATCCGACTTGAGCCCAGATCGCTGAAAACAAGTGTGATGAAGTGGGACGTCCGAAAGAAACGCAACGAACGGACGTCCGTGCGGTCAGGCAGCATGGCCATGGTACTTTTCCATCGAAAAATGGGAGCAGCAAATTTGCACCTCCGGCCGATCGGACGCCGTGACCCCGATCGGTGACGCAGGGAAACCGATCCGGTCCCCGGTTTTTGCCCAGTACTCCACCTGGGAGTCAAAATCCACCACTGCCATAGGGGTTAAAATGAGTCAAACTTGGTTTCTCAGGGTAAGTCTTGTCTTCACGTGTCTTCCGTTCCTTGTATGCCTGTCTTGTTGTTTTCTTCGCCCATCTCCTGAAAACTTCCCTACCTGTCCCCACGGGCACAAGTCTTCAACACCCTGGAGAGTGAAGATCTACAGATCTACTCCTCAAGGAGGTCCCAGGCCTCTTTCTTCACCTACGGACGACCAAATCAACGGACACACCTCCCAAAAACTTCCCCGTGATGAAAACAGAACACGTGCACCAAGTGCACCAAGTCCTCCCACCCTTAGGCACCCCCACCCGGTCACCAAACCATCCCCATTGAAACTTCCATTCCGTGTCGGGTGACGTGCAGCAGACCGGACACCGCATGGCTCACCAGTAGCCAGCCAAATCTGGGCGGCGTGGTTTTTCCACCGGATTTCGTGGGTTTGGAAGTTCTGAAACCCATAGGATGGGGTGTTTTCCACGTGAGTGACGTACCAAAAACACATATGGGAGTTGATCTAAATTCCTTTATCCGGGATCCGTCATTTTCGGCAAAAATAGATTTTCTTTAGCCAAACTTTCGCCTTGCTGCGCTTTATCTTTCGCCGAAGTACGTTGTATTTATGTGTGCCATGTATGTTGTGTTTTGTTCACGTCAATGGCTTCTTCTTTACTGGCAAACAAAAAATAGAAACTTCACTGTTTGTCAGCATGTGTCTTCTACCGAACTGTTGACACCCTGTACGTCTCTTTTGTTCCTCCTGGGTGCCAGCAAAAATCAAAATTGCAAGAATCACTGTGGCAGCCGGTCACTCAAACTTACTCATAATGGGCTGGGGGTCAGATGTGGCAGGGTGAACTTTCGCCAATCTTGAGCTGAACTTTCCCCAAACTTTCGCCTTTTGCGGGGTAGAGCTTTTTGGCAAAGCCACCCCCCCAAAGCAGGAGCAGGAATAGTAGTAGTAGTAGTAGTAGTAGCAGGAGTAGTAGTAGTAGTAGTAGTAGTAGTAGTAGTCGTAGTAGTAGTGGTAGTAGTAGTAGTAGTGGTAGTGGAAGTGGTAGTGGTAGTAGTAGTAGTAGTAGTAGTAGTAGCCACAGCAGCAGCAGCAGCAGCAGGTTATCTAACTTCCACAGCTCATCTAACTTCTGAGTCACTGCCACTAGCTGTTCAGGAAGCAAATGAACATTCATACAAAAGTATATATTTCATCTTTCGCCAGATCTTTTGCCCAAAAAAAATACTTTCGCCAACTCGAGAAAAAACTTTCGCCAAATGAGATTTTGATATGTTCCGGGTCATCGTCATACAGAATGCTGTCTAGGACCTTTAGATCGACAACCATATCCAAAACAAAACACCCCCGTTGGACAGGTGAAGGTTGAGTGCATCCGAGAGCAGCATCTTCACGGCCCATGCCCGGCCTCGCTGGTATGTTCTGTCCATTTATGCTCCGGTCTATGAACGAATCGAACAAGGACTCGTGTGAGAGAGTCATCGAAATCGGACTTGGGGAGCGATCCTCATGTTCTGCTGTAGACCGGCCATGGCCCCCTAAATGTTATATTATATTATATATATATATATGGTTTCCTATATATATATATTCCCATGTTGAAATTGGTTGATGCGGTTCTTGAAGACAAGAATGCTTCGTAAAACAATGTGTTTTTTCACGTGTTTCATATGGCGTTTTTAGAGCTATGAACCACCCCCTTGAGACTGGATCCTTTCGGCAAAACCAGACCAATTTCTGCGGTGCCACATGTTGTGAAGCCCACGGAAATTGCGTCAATCTGCCAATCATGCCCACAATGTCGTTTTATATCGGGGGTTGTCCCCCCCAGTTCATAGAGGAAAAGTTACAGTATATAATAGGTATGGATGCAGTCTCATCTCATCGGATCTTCCAACGGACACAAACTTCAGCGTTCATGCCCATTCTACCAATATTCAGAACCCCCCGTGGCAAAATGAAATGGGGCCCACAACTCCCACAAGACAAACCGCGCCGAAACCGCCGAGTTCTTCGCCGAGGGGCATCTCCCCCCAGGTCGGGAGGGAGCTCACCAGCGCACCGATCCATGCGAAGTAAACGGCGAAGGCCGCGAACTCCGTCTTACCTGAACCGTCGAAACCCCCAGGTTTACAGTAACAAACCCCTAGGATTCGAGCAACTATGGTTTTAATGTGTTTGACCCAACGAACCATTGCTTTATATACTATTACACTACACCACCAGGTCAACCATTCGTTTTTGAAGGCTAGGGAAACACATGGGTTTTATACGCCTGCGACAGGTGGAAGAACAGGGGGTGATTCCTGAAAGACCGGAGACCGGAGATCACCGCTCCAGCCTTCCGTCGCAAACCGACGTGGGAAGGCAGGAATCCGAGTTCAGAACGGGTGGAGTTGAGGAACTCTCCCGGCAAGAGACCCCCACACAGTAAAAAAAGAGCTCACATGCCCTATGGATCCACATGCCTTTTGAGAGGGCCCAAGTATCTTCGGAGAAGGTATGCGGTTCTTTCTCCTGGAACTTCACGGACAGGTGTTAAAGCTGGGAAAGGGCACTTCTGAAGCATCCAGCCCTCACACCAAGCTTCCCCGGTCTGCCAATCAAGCCCATGTGGGACGCACGTCAGATAAACAAAACGAACATCACGTAACAGAACACTTCATGACAGCAAAAGAACACGCTTCAATCCTAATTTGGGAACACCTCCCCACGCAACTTAACAGCCTGTCCATGTGCATATACATCAAAAGTATTTCCTGCCACCACATGACCTGTCATGGATAGCTCTACAAGCATTCACAGGCTTTACAAGTCTTTATTCCAAACAATGAAGGCTCCCATGGCCCATGAACCCCAAACCTACTCAACCCCTCTTCACTCTGAATTTGACAATTGACAATTGGAATGAAAAATGAAAAGAACACAGCAGCAGTGAGCAAGAAGGCCGAGCAAAGGTACCAGCAAAAGTGTGCAAAGCTTGGTGCAGCTTTGAGGGGTGACCCACAAGTAAAATATGTTACAGCAACTAGTACTTAGACAACGCACCGTTTGCTGGTTTGCTGAGCCGAATGCAGGCAGGCCATTTGGCCAAACCCTCGCAAACCTATCCTAGCAGCTGGCACCTAGCCATACCAACAAGGAGTGTACCCACATCCAACAATATTGATAATTACATTGATACAATACTATACACCAAGTCACGATAGTGCAAATACTCCTGGCGGGGTGGGACTCAGGTGTCAAGCCGACTCCTCAACTTCAGTCAAAATGAATCGGCCAAGACCAAGAGTCAGACTTCGTTCTACATGATGGCTGGCTCCATATTATATACATTTATAGACTATGACCGATGGCTCCTGGCCTTACTAGGAGCAAGGACTGTAACAAGGCCATTCTTGGTGAGGAAATCCTCGGTTTTGCAGGTCGAAGTATCTGGAATTCATGGCTTGTTCGCCCTCCGCGTGAAGGCGGAAGCCCCTTCCCCCATGTCTGCGATCTCCAAGCATGAGAGGTCGGCAACACCGACTGCTTCTGGTCATTCTTCTACTACCCTTGTGTACTGAAATAATGATGGAAGTGGCGTTCACTACCAGTTTGGAAAATCATATACAGTAATCCTTTTCGGCCGCATGCCATCCAATGCATTCCAATTCCATGATTTCATCAGATCTTCTCTTGCAGCTCAAACCAAATCCAACTTCTCCCCCCAAATCCACCCGTCCTTGGCGCAAAGCTGAATGAGAGACTGAGCATAGAGGTTGAAGCGTGCGACCATCATGATCCTCGTGGAGACGCGGTTCCAGGCCCAAACAACGGGTCAGCTGCGTCCATTGTCAGGTCTGCGCAACAATGAGCCAATCCCTTCCAGAGGATGGACTAATATGGACTAATTATATGGACTGCTACATGATCCGATCGAACGCGTCAGAGACATATAGCATCATATAGCACTGGTGACATCCAGGAGATCCAGAGAAAGGAGCATTGTCACTGTGGTCCTCTCCTTTTCAGACACACCTATCCACACAGACACGGAATTCCACAACCTCGACGACACAAATCCCTGTCCCTTGATCCATGCACTCTACATGAGGTCACCTGCTTTCGCAGTGAAACTGCGAAACGTCATGGGTCATGGGAGGCCACTCTGTGTCCCGAAACGCGCATCGAAAGTCTCTAGCCAACCAGGAGTTCTCCAGGGTGTGGTAGGGAAACCCAACCAATGGCCCCGACTCGTCACATTTGTGGTCTCCAAGTCGGTCATTCCAGGCTTCTTCACGTTTCAGGTAGATCCAAAGCCCAAGTTCCAAAGACCGCACATCTCTATTTCATCACCCACAGGAGCCACACTTAACCACGCTTTCTTTGCAATTTGGGGCCGCCCCGCCACCTCCCCCCAGACAAGTCCTGTTTGAGAAGAACTGCCACTGCGCGTTGAACCGGAACCGTCCGGTTGAACCGTCGCTCATGTGATGCGCGACGCGCGACGGAGAAAACCGAACCGTCGTCGTTGCCCCATCCGTCGCCGTCCGCTCCGTCGCGCTCCGGTCCGCGGTTTTTGATATTCCCTAGGGCTCCAACCACCTCCTGAGAAGGTGGTTGGGGTGGGTTTGGGGGGTCTAACCACCTTCTGAGGATATGGTTGGAGCCCTGGGGATTTGTCCGAGCTGAACCCGAGCTTCGGATAAAAGAAGATGTGCTCGAAGCTCACCAAGAATCGGGCCACCGAGTCCATGGCCTGAGTCGTGCGAGTCGTAGGAGAACGGGCATGTGAGGACGCGGTGTACACAGACAAGTCACCGGGGGGAGGAGCGGGTAGGACGTGAAGACACAGGAAGACCGAACTGTTCCAACAGAACCAGGTTAAACAGGGTACTTGACTGTTTGACCTTCAAACCAACATTTAGAAGGATTGCCATTTCAACAGACCCTCCGCGCTTGCATTTGACCAAAACCCATCCGCAACGTGTTAGCCCAAACAGGTTGGAATTTGCGCGTTCTGTGATTTCAATTACAGTATCGGGTTCCTTCCTGGATGAATGTGAAAGGGAGCAGCTCCAAGACCTCGAAAATGGATGCACTCTGATGGTTTTTGCCATAATGCACACCGTGGCTTCAAACAAATGCATGTTGAACAAAACAAACATGTGAGGTGTTGGACCTTGCCTTCAGCTCATTGTAGTAGGTGCTCCAGAACCTCAATCTCGAAGGCCGAACATCGAACGACTCACATGTGTAACATCCCCCTTGATCCACAGTGGGAACAGTTGAACGACTCAGATGTCTCCTGCGTCTTCGAAACAGGGCCTTGGCCCTGGCCGTACCCTCCACGGAAATCCGGTCAAAACATATCCTAATCCGGTCAGAGTTGTGGCGGTTCATCTGCACTTCTGGAGGATCCCAAGTGTCTCGGATCTCAGTCATATATAGCACCCAAAATGCACCCAAGACAGGTCCTCATCCCTTTGTCTCCTACAAGCCAGTGCATACTATCCTGGAGCCACCGACGCTCGCAAACCCCAGGCCCTCTCAAAAATGGCGGCAGGAGCTGTCCATGGCCCTCCCAAAAAGTCTTTGCCGTCTTCAGTTCGACTTCCCCAAGCCCCCAGCAAGCTCCAGACGTTGCAACCCCCCAGCCACCCGCGACAGGAACCTCCGGAACCCCACCCCTTCTTCAGGCTCCAGAACCCACCAGATTCCCCCCCCCCCATCCAAAACGATGCACGAAGCAGGGAGGGAAGGCACTGTCGGAACGTCCAACAACGCCCCGAGCCCGACCCACCCCTCCGCAGCCTCGTCCAAGTTCCATCCCAGAAAAAAGGGTTCCGAGCGGCGGCTTTTTGAAGATCTCTGGGCTCACTGCGATGGCCGGCAAGTGCTGAATGTCTGGGTCATGCCTCGGATGAGGGTCGCGACGGCTCTGTGCGAACCGTGGGAACCAGACGGGCGGAGCTCCTGCCCTCTCCCTTTTGGAGGGAACGCCAAGCGTAGCAGGAGGAACACGAAAAGCTAGATGGAGGTGATGGAATTCGGACTGGAGATTCTTGCTGGGTCCACGGTCAAGCATGTGAATGACTGCCTGCTCCAGTCTCCGTACAGGCTCCCGAGCCAGCTGGCTCGTTGGATCATTTTGGGGGGAACACCTGGACTCCGAGCTCCACAATGGCTCCAAAACGGTGAAGATCCGACCGTCCTCACACTTGGGCCATAGCCCGGCATATTGCGGCTCCACGGACACCAGGTTATCTGTCTTTTTGCCGGTCCTCTCCAAGCATTTGAGGGCCAATCACACGAATCTCCGCCAGAGAAACACGACGAATCTCGCCACTCGAGACCTGGTCCTCCTGTCCTCGAGGACCCGTTGTGTCGGTGGCCGGGTTGCTGCCGTAGGGCGCCCGAGGGGTGAGTGCCCCACTTCTCCGCACCCACCGGACCTCTCGCCCACTCCACCGGGTCCCCGCCGAGCAGCTCAATCGAATTGCAAACGATGTGGTGGGTATTGTGATTCCTCTTCCACCAGCAGACGGAGATGCCCATAAATGCGACCAATGAAGAGCAAATACTGTGGTCCTCAGCGAAGCAACTGGAAAACGTGGCACTTGCACCCTGATGATCCCTGATGAACAATTGAGTGGAATAAAGGATCAATGGTTACACAAAACAAAACAAACAGACAGACAAGACAAGACCAAGACCAGACAAAACAAACAGGGGTGCATATGTCCAAGCCCTGCACCCCTGTTGCATGAGTGGCCCTGGAAATCCCGGAATCCCCATGAGGCAAGCAGCCAAGAAGTTACATCGCTTGAACCCCATGATCCGAAGCCATTGATTCAAAAGCAATGTGTCCCGCTTCAGATCCTCCGTCTCGTCCCACGGTTTTCCGCGAAAGAACCTTCCCCCCCCGCCTTCCTGCAGCCCACCGCCTTCCTGCAGCCCCCCGCCTTCCTGCAGCCCCCCGCCTTCCTGCACCCCCCCGCCTTCCTGCAGCCCACCGCCTTCCTGCAGCCCCCCGCCTTCCTGCAGCCCACCGCCTTCCTGCAGCCCGGGTGTCCAAATGAAAGTTGTGGCTGATGGCGCTGTGGCCCATGTCGTGGCCAATCCCAGCGAGCTGCTGCCAGAAGAGTCCCATGACCTCACCGGCGCAGCGCCGCACCAGGCACCGGCGGTTGACCGCGCCCGGCCACGGAGCGCCCCGCGGCCAGGTGAGAAGACTTGGGGGGGGGTTCGCTGATTTTGGGGGTTGGATTGAAAAGGTAGTACAAATCCAAGACGAAGAAGAAGAAGAAGACGAAGAAACTAGTTACTCTCCGGCTCACTAACATGGAAGTGGAAAATGGTCCCCGATTTGGAGGGCCTGGCTAAGGCGCTACGGACACCCATGGACTTGAAAAGGCGGATTCTTGGTCCACCGAGTCCACCTATTGTTGTAGGTAACAGGTTGCTCAAGCCATCTTCACAAGGGTCAGAACCTTTCTGGAACTCATGTGAAATGGAGTGAAAATGATGGTTGAAACGATACATGGAATGTCGAACACTTGGAATATTTTGGAACGATTTCGATTGTGAAGATCTTTGTTGCCAAAGGACAAGATGCCTTGACATCGTCCTGTTTAAAGTTCGTTGACCGGAAACTAGGACATGATATTCATCAACTAGGTAGAAAGACCCCCATGCGGCATAATTTCACCCACCTCCTGAAAATTGCTTCACAACCCCTTTCAGCCCCTTTCCAACGGCCCTCAAAGGGCGTTCTTCCCCACACCCGACCCTGAGGGTCTCCGCTGGTCCCGCCGAACCGGCCGAACGTTCGGTCGGCTCAAGAAAGCGGCGGCCGCGCCCAGCATGTGCGACCGCGTGGAGGTGCATCCTGGCGAGGGAGCGATCCTTTGGGAGGATTCAGAAGCGGAAGACCAGGCCGGCCCCTATACACACTCCCTGGAAGCTTTCCATGGGCCAACGTGGAAGCTTTCCATGGCCCGAGTCCCGGCAGAGCATGGATTCCGAAGAGCCAAGTTAGGTGATTTTCACTCACTCCACGTAACAATGGATGATGTCAGGGATCTGATAGGTGATCGTGTAACCTCCTCATACTCTTCGTGCTCACCTCGACCCATCGAGAAATGACCATGTTCGGTGCTGCAGCCTAAAGCGGCCTTTGTTTTTTTGGGATTTGCCTCTACTCAGATGAACCTGTTCCTCATGTTTCCTCATCCACCGGCCTCAGAAACCCTGCACGACCAGTGATTGGACTATAGATGCTAGCCAGGCTATAGACCTTCTTGAAGGGCAAGTTCCTTGCTTCCCTTGCTCTTAAAGAGTTGTTCGGCCGACTTGGGTCAATTCCCAGAACCCCAAGATCCCACATGATGTCTTCCCAGCGTCCTAAGTCCCAACGGGACTACGGAACTGCTCCACGGAACGGCGTTCTGCTCGGCTCCAGGGGCCATGCTGAGGCGAAAGCATTCACCTACCTTCGGATCCCCATTCTCCGCGCCTATGGACAGGTACAAAGAGAGCAAAAACAGCGAGAGGAGCCTCAGCCGGTCGGCAGGACATACTCGGCTCGTTGAAAAAAAAACAGAACATCACGGGATGAATCCGTCGGTACGGAGCTGACCGTCGGCGGCGCCGGCGCTCGGCCGTTTCGCGCGGGCTCCAAGCGTTGCACCTCGCCCCCACGGGGCTAGGCCGCTACGTGGTGTGCAAGCGAGGAGCCATGCACCCATCTTGGCATAGAAGCGCATGTCCTGTGCAGCATGCCCAGGGAACAATAAGCACACTGTATAGTATAGAAAGACTGGTGTAGCATTGTAGATGTTGATTTGTGCCAACAACCATTTTGGGCTAAGACTACATATCATGACATATCATGACTTGTTTCCACAAAAAAAATGCACTCCACACAATCACCAGTGGTGGATATCACACTCCACGTCATCGAAAATGGCAGGCCAGGGCACTGTCTCAAAAAGCCCGCGGCGCAAAAGTTCCTGCCGCACCTGCCGGCCCGGCCGCCCCAACTGCGAGTCTTAACAAGCGGTCTGTGGTCCCAACACTGACTCACCCGGCCCTATGGGGATATTGACCATATTAAATGGGTCGTGTAAAATTGAAACTTTGATCTGAACACACTGTCACACCCCATTTTAGATCATGTGCAGCAACAGGGATTAAAAAGGGCTTTCCCTTTATAATCTTTATATACTGGAGTCCTTAGTTCCTTTCTTTGTTCCCTTTCAACTCCAGCATAATTTCCGTTCTGTAAGGGAAACTGCTAGACCGAGGACATTCGTCCCTGATTGGAAGAGCTTTGCGTCAAAAGCTTGCTTTTGTTGTAGAATTCAGAATGGCCTTCTTCTGCATGAAAAGCCATCCCAGACTCACCCAAGGGGTACAGTAATAAGTCTCCACCATGCTCAACACGTCCAACAACAAACATGGTTCTATGAGAAACTACCAGCAGTCACAAAGGGATGGTTTTTAGTCCCTAAGTGAGTGGAGTAGCTGGGCACCCCTACCCTCCAATAGGCACCCCTTTGTGACTGCTGGTATGGACACCTTCCGTTCTCGGAGTGCTTCACTGCCAGCTACCCAAGCCAACACCCCAAACAAAGATCACCCAACGGCACGCTAGATTAGAAGCGCTTTAATGACGGGCTGCTGTCAACCCGCAACAGAAACATTGAAGAATCCAGGCTGCAGCCTTCTGCAGGGTTCAAGTCTCTTGCCAGTAAATCAATCAAGTTGTAGTTCCAGGGCCGAAAGTCACCTCCTGAACATCTTCCCGCAATTCTTCGCCCAAAACGGCCAAAGCCCGTCCGACCACCTTACCCTGGCCTCCCGAAAATCCTGTACATGGGGAGGCACCGTCACATCCGTGGCCTGGAGGCGTTCGCGGACGTCGACGCGGTGGCGAACAGGACCCGTCGTCGGGGGCGAAGGGCCGCCGTCCAAGGGCCGCCGTTCGAGTCCAGTGACGATTTCTGGCAATATATGTCACTCCATCAGAGGAGTGCATACTAAGTTCAACCACCAAGACTGGAGCTTTGTCTCACGGCGACTTCAGAAGAGTCGGAGAAAGGGGAGCAAAGCTTTGAACATACGAAGCAGCAGTCAGAATGCTAGTGCAGTGCGTGGCCTCTCCTCAGGATGGAATTCAATGGTGAAAATCATGTTCTCTATATATATATATACATATATATATATATATATTCTCTCTTCATGCCAGATGGTCCCAGCCCACTCGAAATCCCTTCACTGTGAAGAGAGTTGCATGTTTGGGGAAGTCTCATTCTCTCAGGCTTCTGGGCATTCTCCATACAAAACCCACGTTCTCCATGGGTGCCGTTTTTCTCTCACTCCCCTCTCGCCGCCTCCCCAATCAGCATGGGGGGCCTCGGCTCCAAAAGGCGGGGACTCGAACGGTCGAAACGGGACTTTCCCGATGTGTTCGTTTGTCACACCACCTGGAATCATCCTGGTTACATGGATCAGCTCTGGTGCCATCCACTTCCCGTGATCAATTCCGAGTGTAAATTAGGATCATGAAGGCCCTTCTGGTGAACAGGCTCACTTGACCTGTGGCCTTCACCGTCTTCACCAGCTACGTCTTGCAGGTGCGATTTCACGTCCGGCCCGGGTAAGGGTCGGAGACCGACTGGTGGACCACCGCACAATGAACGGACCACTCCACCGAGCTCCAGGTTTTGACCCATCCCCAGATCTCAGAGATGTAGATCAAAATTATCGAAGCACATTAAAGCTCATTGAGGTTTCCAGCCTCTTCGCCGATCTGATTTCATGAGAGACCGGAATGACCTCTAGACCTCTTTAAGACCAACACGTTAACCACGAACCAAGACGGCAGCTGGGTGCCGTGACAGCAGCTGCTTGTAAACGCGCGCGGTATGGTAGTTCGCAAAAGCATCCGTGCCTCAGCGTTCGACTCGCGAAGGCACCTCTCCGATCCGCGGTGCCCGACGAGAGCGGACGAAGTCCGCCATGTTCCGAATGAGATTGTCACAGAAAGCGCCTAGAAAGTTCGAGAGAGGTGTGCAAGTAGCTCGGCAGAGCCAGGAAGCAAACACAAGCAAGCTGACGAGCCAAGTGAATTATAAGTGAGGGGCCAAGTGAAGAACAGCCCTACTGCTCCCAGTGACCACCCTTGCATCCCCCCTCGCAACTTGGTTTTTTCGCGAAGAGTTCGGGGTGGCTCACAGTGCGTTTGTGGATGTGCCAAAACATGAACACGAGCAGTCTAAGATCCTTTGATGCCCCACTCCTCCGGTGTCAAGTCCAGGCCCCACTCCGCTGGATATGTTCATCGTTGCAGAAGCCGAGCGGTCTCAAAGGACGCTGATCTGCCCATGAAAACGCAAGTCGCCAGCCATGCCTCTCTTACTGAGCAAGTCGCTGTCAAAGCTTGAATATCCCCCAAACATCTATGACAATATCTATGACATGGGTCTGTCCCATCACCAGTAACAGTGGAGGATGATGGTTAGCAATGGCCTTTCTCTCAAGTATATACCCAGACACTCCATGTATGGCATATGTACCTATATACATTGGGGTGGTTTCAGGGGTCAAGGTATGTAAGTATGCCATACATGGAGTGTCTGGGATGGTGATAATTTGTTTACTGACTGTTACAGGTCATAGGACAGACCCAATCTATGACCAAACCCTGTGCCAGCTAGACCTCTCTCATCTGAGCTAGGCACAGTCCTTTCCGGCCATGTTCTCTAGCATCAAGGGGCCACCGGGATGCTTGTCGATGTACCTCGCGACGGTCTTTTTCAACCGTCCGAACAGCTCGGTCGAACGGCGAACGGGCAGATGAAACCGGCTCGTTTCAAGAAGAAAGAAACCCTTCTGATGAACAAGGACCACCACCTTCTGCTAGGCAGGAGGTCTTCCCACCTTCTGCTGCTGTTCGGGTGCTTCTGAAGCCCTTCTCTCCTTCGCACCTCGTGGTGTCGTAGACCATGTTGTCGACAATGATCCACAAACTGTCTCGAGTGTTGTGCTTGGCCACCTGCCGTGTCTCTCCACCCAGATGGTTTAAAACCAAGCAATTCGGTCTGAGGAAAGGCTGCCCCTTGGAAAGCACGGCTGAGCAACGCTCTGAGGAAACAAATTCTCTCCTCCATCATCAAGCCAAGCACTCTCTGACTGACGTTTGTTGACCAATTTCCCCGCTTTCCCATGCAGGTTGGTGCCTCCTCAACGGTGAATTTGCGCAGCTCCTCCGTCCGAAGTCCGGAGACGAGTGGTTCAGTCCGGCACGCGGGGCCTTGGGACTCGGGCCCGCCAAAGATGAAGCGGAAAGCCGACCACCTCCTACCACCTCCTACTGTCCCTCCATCTGGGAAACAGGTGCTGCAATTTTGGGGGGGTCGGATGGCCACAGGGCTGAGAGGTTCTGCGTCTATGATGTCCCATCTAGAATCTACGAAGATGATCCATCTGGCGATGGAAATGGATCTATCGCCTGATGCACGGAGCCCACCGGGGACAGGGGTTCGGGTCGGTGGGAGGAACGGCGTCCCGGCCAACGATTGGCCCAAACAATCCGAGCCACGAGCTCAGTCAGAAGCAAAGGCTCACCTTTAGGATGATTTCGTGGGTGGTATGATTTTGTCTCCTGCGGTGGTCATTTCAGCAATCCTTCAGGATCTTCAGGAATCCCGGGAGTGGGAGCGCGTGGTCCTTCGAGCTGCTTTTGGGATGCAAAGGAACCAGCAAAGTCTTGCCTTCCTCCTCGCGCGAGGAAGAAGCGGCGAGTCAAACAGACTGAGTAGCAAGTGCCTCGCTACTAGTAGCTTCTTGTTACTAGTAGTAATGCCAGGAGCTACTAGTAGCTTCTTGCTTGAATTGCTACTAGTAGCTTATTGTTACTAAAGGATTGAGGTTCTCCATGACTGGAGTGATAAAAGCAAAGGGCTTCCAGTATCATTTGGACCTAGAACCCACACTACCAAAACTGCCGATTGGCTGTCAACTGACTTTGTTCCCACAGTTCTGAATGCGACTTTCATTCATACATATTCACCTTGCGTCCAAGCCACTGGGGCCTCATGAAGAGCAGGACACCATCATTCAATGAGTGTCCATCATTCAATGCGAGAACATCGCTTTGCATCCAAAGGGTCGGGACCCTGTCCAGACTGCCCAGGGTGAGAGGAGCGGACAACTGAGGGGTTTCCTGTGTGTGCGGGTGTGCTGCCTGCAGGATTTCTTCCGAGGAAGACCTCTGGTGGTGAAAACGCAAGGGACTGACTAGGTGTCTGTTGAATGGCATATTTGAGGTTCAATATCCTTAATTGTATACAAATGTCTTGACTGATGTCTGGTCCTCTCGGAAGATCATGCTGCTGTCAGAATTCTTTTCCAAGGTCTTCGATCCTGGCTGATGCGTCAAACAGCATCTTCAGATAGTGCCGAAGACATCTTCAGATGGTGCCGCTCCTGAAATTCATGGAAATCCTTTCCAGAGAAACTAGACTTTCTTCACAAATGACTGCTAGTTTGGTGCCCCCCTCCCGTTCGAGAGACATGGGTCCAAAAGAAGGAACCACTCTTCGAAGGCATGTACATGAGTTACAAGAGACATGAGTCTGCTAGGAGAAATTGGATCCAGAAATGTATACCCTAGCCGCTAGCCTTCCAAGACCATTTTTGTAGTCCAAAAAGGTCTAAATCCTTAGTAAAACTTCCCCATTGGAATTAAGTGGGTGCATCGGGGGTAGCGATTTTATAGTGCTAAAATGCTGGGACCAACCTCCCTCAAAAAAGGTGAAACTGGTTGACTCTACAAAATCGAGATTAATATAGGGAAAGAGTCTAGAAACAAGGTGTCAGCTCTGTAGAATGGAGGGTCATGAGTGTGTAAAAAGCTGTGGATATTGAAGACATTGATATTGCTCTATAAAATGCTGGTCCTGAGATACTGTCGAACGGTGTTTTCAACTACGAGTAAGAAAGGCATCGACTCGCCTGTTGGAAGGACCCCAAATTTATTGTGAAGACAAAGATCCTCATGGACAGTCCCTGACATGCAAAATAATGCTAACAATTCTCTGTAGAATCAGCACACTTGAGATCCAGAATCGGAGGGTCTCATGGCCTTGCACCAACACCGCGCGCATCTCCAGCTTCAGTGACCGCGCCTTTGCCCGCTCGCTCGAAGATGCAGATCTGCACCTGATTCTGCGGCTGGCTCTACGGCAGATTCAGCGTCAGCAGAAAGAAACCGCGGCGACGGCGTCTCACGAAAAATTCACCCAGAAAACTCAAAAACCAGGAATCGCTGTCCTCAGATATTGGTTCATGTTGTTCAACACCCAAATCGCAGATTCAGAGCGGCGAGGCAATGGGTCATGCTATCGCGCCGCGCCCAACACCTGCTGAAAAACCCCCATGGGGCGCCATGTCAAGCCTACCTGGCTTTGGAATGCTTGGCAACTGCATATCTGACCAACGGTCAGAGTCCCACGTTAATCCCCACCCAGCAACCTCCACACGGTTTGGCACGGTTTGGCGGCCTCCAGCGGTGTGAAACGGGTCAGCGACGCTGACGGAACTTCGGAACATGTCCAACTATTGATAAGCCCAGACTACGAACACAAAAAGGAGCAGGACGACGTGAGGGCATGATCCACTGCTGATGCCGGCGGCCAATGGGGTGGTACTATCGACTGTGGTCGTGGTCGAGGTAGTATCCGCTCCCTGTCCCTTGCACCAGAAGGGAGATGTGCACACAGGGGTGCTTGGCCACGGTGCTGCTCCCACGAGCTTTCGCCAGGTGGTCGTTCTCGTCTCTTTGCCGTCAAACGCCCACACCACCGCCCGGACGTCGTCACACACCTCGAACTTGCTGCACTTGCCATTCTCATTCACCTCAGTTCGTCACAACGCAGGATACTTCCGAGGTGAACAGGACTGAGAACCTTCCCTTTCCGACCTTCACGAGCCCAAAACAAATTGCTTTCCCGGAATGTGCGACCATATCTTTCGTCCCAAGACAAGTCCCCCAAACGTGGACGCGGAATCTCGACGTCAAGTCTTCCTTCGAAACCATGGCCGGGCAGCCCAAAAGAAGTTGCACCTGGAGTCCTCCGAGCAAGATGCCAGGCAGAGGGCCTCATTCCCCTCAAAGCTCTCAGAATAGGAATCCGCACAGGTCACGTTCCAAATGTGCTCAGGGACATAGCTGCAGCTTCCAGAGCTTCCGTTGGAGCAGTTCAAGATGTTCTCTTCTCCTGCAGAATAGAGATGATCCAAGTCCGGTGAACTACTCTCTGAGCCAAAAGGTTGTTGATTTGATTCAAAGTATTTATGGAAGAAAATACCTAATGCATACTGGTAATTGTATAATACCAGCATATACCATCATAATTATATGTAATTGATGTCATATGATTATGTCATATATAGAGTGCATTTATGTGCATTTAGTGCATATGAAAAGAAATCAAAGCAAGACTTCGACTTCCAACAATCAGATATCCGAACCCCTTCTCCTGGTGTGGGTGGATGCAGAAAACCATATCTCCAAAAGCCCGTTTGATCCAAATACCGGCCATAGGAGACCTTCTGCTCACGCGCAAATTCGCTGAAGATTCGATCGGTGCATGACATGATGCTCGTCGTCACGGTACAGCCGGGCATCCAGCCTGTCGTGGCCAAGCGCTGACCTCCAGGATCTTCCAGGGTCACAATGGACGCCTCCAAGCCACCGAGGGGAAACGTAAATTGCTGGCACAAGACGGCACGTGAGGCAGCTGGAAGGAGGCTGCCAGCTGGGAAGGTGTAACTCTCAGAAGCACCACTACAAGAGTCCTGGCCACATAAAATCGCCCCAGAAAGGTCCAGTGGGCTTGCTCCGAAGTGTTCTAACTCCAGCCATGGCGTCAAACAACCCTCCTCCGCCGTGGAGAACTCCGACACCTCCGAGATGCGTAGCTCCGTCGCTCCGTAGCTCGGTGGCAGAAGGAGGAAGCCGACGCAGAAGCTGCGGAAGAAGGAGTGGAGGAAAGGAATTGGACCTGTCATGCCCTTGAAAACCGCGGAACACGACGCGGACCGCCCAGGAAACGCCAAGGAATTTTGAACCCAGCTGGAGCCAAGAAGCCTTGTTGGCCGCACGAGAGTGCGCGCTATTTCTCCATGTCCGGCATTTTCTTCCATGACGGGGAAGGTCGCCTCTATTGTCGTTCCTTGCTTTTTGTTCTAGTTCAGGACATCTTTAGGTGAGCATTGCCTTAGCCACACAGCATTGCTTTAGGCTCATCCCAAAAGCGCTACACGAGCAACTTCCGAAACCATGCTTCATGAAGTGACTGACCTGCCAACATGTTTCCACAGCTTCTTTCAGCCAAGCTGCGGCCAAAGCAGTGGCCGCTGCTGCGCTTCCTGAAGCACGGCCGGAGTGGTCCCCTCCGACCTTTTCGGGCAACGAAATCATGTCATTCAATGGAAGCTGTCCAGTGCTCTGACTGACTCCCATGACTGACCCCCGAGCCGTCACCGAGGTTTTGCAGCTAATTTCCAGGTCAACCGTGGTCCACCTGCTCGTGTTGAGTGGGGAAACCTATCCCCCAAAAGGTTAGGGTTATCCAGTTATCCACTGACGGGGTAGGATGTAAATCATCATAATTCCTCCTGTGTGTTCGCTCACCGATGGCCAGGCTTTCAGGAAAAAGGCGAGCCTGGTGCAAATTGTATCTTTGGGGTCTATCCTATTATCAGTAACAGTGGATGATTATACATTAATGGTTAGTAGAGGCCTTGCTCTAGAATAGTGTTGCTTGTTTACTGACTGACCCAATCTTCATTCGGGAATGGTCTTTAAGGCCATGCTCAGCCTGGGTGGGTGTCGAGCGGTCGAGCAGAAGTCGTTGGTGGTCAGTCCAGTGGTTTCCTCCGGGTTCACACACGAATCAATCGCCATCCAGACATCGCTCGAACAGCCAGAAAAAAGATACATATGTGGTCAACCACATAAAACATATCAGCAACCCTTCTCTGTTTCTCGCAGAAAGACACAGAAAAACCCCCGCCTAAGCGGAGCATGCGGGCTGTCATGCATTCGTCCAACGCGTCCGACATGGACCTGGCAAAGGCCGAACTCGTCCAACGCGCCCAGAAACCAAAGGAAATCCACATGGTGAACATCCATTGCCACTCGCCGCTCTCCAAGCGCCACAGATCGAGTGAATCTATTGATGTGATTGGTCTACCAAAAACCTGTGGCAACCACCTGGGAATCCTGGAGGCTTCCTGCCTTGTAGGACAGATCCATCTGGCCATCTCTGGCCATATCTAACCCGCAATGGCAATGGATTCGACACCCCCAACAGCCCTACCACTCTGGGAGTCTCGGGCCACTCACCGTCCACTCTGAGGCACCGGACCCAGTACCTGAATAGTCGGAAAGAGGCAGAAAGCAGAAACGGGAGGCTACCAGTAGCTTCTAGCTCTGGTAGCGATGCCCTTGTTACTAGTAGCTTCTAGCTACTAATAGCGATGCCCTTGTTACTAGTGGGTGTGAAATGGTGTGCAGCATGAAATCGATCTTGGATGATCGGTTTAACCCACTTGTGGACTATATCACCAGCATTTTTCATGAATTGGTGTTGATAATAATGGGGTGATCTTGGAAGAGTGGACCTGGGACTACAGGGTGGTCACTACGTCCTCGTTCATTTCCAGAACGGGTCCATAGCTGGACGACGTCCATAGCTTCTCTCGGTGCGCTTGGCAGAGTGCATGAGACCTAAATCCAAAGCGTCTATTGGACTACGACAATCTTTTGGCGGAGGGGCGGAGGGGGATGGGATGGGATCCAGCGCCTGAAGGCGGCGGGAGTCTGGGCCTGAATCGTTCCTCCGCGCGCGCAATGGACACTGATAGAAGCAGGGTTTGGGGGTTGGAATCCACCAGGATGACGTCCCGAAGGTCTGAGCAAAAGAAATGGGCTTCCTCCGAGTCGGAGGGGTGTGGTTCAGTGCTTCTGAAGGAGATACTCTCATGAATCCAAGATCGAAGCTGAAACAAGTCTCTAGCTCCACCACATTTGGACCTTTGGGAAAGGACTCGCTAATTAGATGCTCCCCGCGACTGAGTAGAATGGACAAGCAAAGATGTCAACCTCATTCTCATGGTTGAAAGGGGTGGTGGGTCATTTCCCGTGGTCCAACTGCATTTTTAATTTTCTGTCAATGTACTTCAAAGCCGCCACAAGCATTTTTCTCTCCGAGGAACCATAGCCAACAGCAGTTCCCACACACCCGGCCTAAGCCAAGACAGACGGGCACAAAGGCGGTTTGGTGGAGGGTGTCGACTTCCACCGCGTGTTTCGAGCTCTCAGTTCACATATGCAAGTTACTAGTAACAAGGGCATCGCTACTAGTAGCAGAGAAAGGGAAACAAGTTCCAAAGCACAGTGATCCTGAGGCCTCCACAACTCCAGTCTTGTCAAGCACCAGAGCAGACCACTGGGGCACCAGCCAAGACAGAGCTGATCATCCAGAGGATCACGGGCTACGGAACTGCCTCAAGTCTTGGGTCATGTCGGAATCTTCAAACCAACCCTCAACCCAGGTGGCCCAACTTTGAGAAGAGTACGGGGCATCTTGTTTAAAGTCAGGGGAATCGAGTGCACGTCTCCCCTCGCAGTTCCCAACAAAACATGACTGCCCGCCCTTCCTCAGTTCCACCAAAACAGCACCATGCCCAGAATGTCGAGAAACATGCAGAGACATTGAGAAGCAAAACAAAAGCAAACTATATATTCACCTGCCCAAACAGGACATAGACTTCATGCTCGACAACGTCAGTGAAACACTGAGGGCAGCACCCGGAAAATTCTACCAAGTTCGTTTCCGATAGTCTTGAGCCAAACATTGTTCGTCCATCCAGAGAAGTTCAGTCCCTCGACAAGAGTGGCCTTATAGCCTACAGCATCGCTGTAGGGGAACGTCTCAACATGAATGTTCATCGATCTCCACTTCTGCTACTTGGTTGTAAGTACCCAAATAGGCCTTTGACTGCAGGGTCCAGTCACCAGTCCCTCCCGAATCGATGGCAAAGCAAGCTGCTCGGACTTCGCGCCAGCGCGAAGTCCGAACCTCTGGGGAACGCCCGGGGCGTGGAACCACCATCCGTGGGCGGTTACGAGTCTTTCTGTGTCTATTAAAAAAGGGAGACCTCCATTTGGAACCTTGCTTGAAGAAGGGCGATAAACCAAAACCCATTGGTTAAGTTGGGAGTGTCTATTAAACGTAGACCCATTGGCCACCCAAGTTGTTGTGACGTTTTCTGGAGCACACCCACGCGGTCCGCTTCTCAGTCGCCACCCAAGCGATGTCTTACTAGTAGCTTCTTGCTACTAGTAGCAAGTGCATCTCTACTACAGTAGTAGCAAATGCATTACTACTAGTGCTACTACTAGCAATGCCCTTAGTTACTGGTAGCGATGCACTTGTTACTAGTAGCAATGCACTTGTTACTAGTAGCGATGCCCTTGGTACTAGTAGCGATGCACTTGTTACTATAGTAGAGATGCCCTTGTTGCTAGTGGCTTCTAGCTACTACTAGTAATGCCCTTAGTTACTAGTAGCGATGCACTTGTTACTAGTGGTTTCTATCCCATAAGTAAAGAGCGGACTGCAGTGACGTGTCTTTTCTCACCCGTCGCCCCAGAAAGATTTCATGTTGTGCGTGTCCACCTTGCCGTTGGCCCAGGACTGTCGCCGCCAGCCTAAGCACAATGCGTCACGCAGCCATGAGCAGCTACTTACTGAAACCTATTTGCGTGAATGACCCCTGTGTTCGAGAGTTTTTGCAGTAAGCTGTTTAGCAAGCATCCAAAGAATTGTTTTTCCCATAATGAAAAGAGATGCAAAATGGGTTCTAGGCTGTACACAACACGTAGAATCATAGAAAAACATCCGTGGTACAACGTAGCTGATGTTGCTTGGGCCCGGTACCAAGGGAATTGCATCGGCTGTGTTCGAGTACGTACAGCTGGTCTTGGCGTCTCTGCTCCCTTTGTAAACTGATGATGTCTCCAAAATCAGGGGAAGCTAAGGCCCGCCAAAAACGTTGTGCTGGGCATTGCTTGGTTCCTTCTTCTTTCACACACTCAAACGTTGTGGATCAAAGCCCTGAAATCAAACGAACACTCGAAGGACCAGAAAACGCTTATAAATATGTGTATATATATATATATAGAGTTTGAGAATGATAACCATATATAATCTTGAATATACCTATACAATCCTATACAACATATTACAAATATGACATAAAACGGTTGACGCGTTCATCATGTTCATCCATGACGGGATACCACCGGGTTCCAACGGGCTGACCTCCCGAGCCTTCTGTTCTCCTTTTTTTGAGCGAAGTGTCCCCAATTCCCCCCATTCGTTGGGTGGGTAATCCCGTTCACCGGTTGACAAACCCAGGGCCCAGCCAGGCTGGATCGCCGGCGCACCGACTTGTCCGGCCTCTCTGACCACTTCCAGCAGTTGGCACCTCACAGATGGCAGACGGCGGTGCCACAAAACCAGAGACCCAACGCCAATCTTGCTAGGCTTGCAGTAACGCCTAAGTTTCAGTTTGCAATGTCCAAAACATTGAATTTAGATCTTCTTAGGATGTGTCAGAGCTCTGCAGTAGACTCAGTAGACTCGAGTCTGCACCGGCCTCGCCATGAGAGAAGCCTGGGATGAAACGATCTGAGGGAGGGGGTGCGCTGAACTAGTGGATTATATGAATCTGTGAAAATGCACTGGACGGCCCACGCTCGACTCAAGGCAAGCACTTAGGAGCCAGAGACTCGATGGGGGCTTTGTGTCCACCGGAAAAAGAGTCTTGTTCTTGCTTGTTGGGTCTGTTGCGGTTCCCCCAATTTCATAGTGGTAGCGGAGCCCGGTTCCGACCGGGCTGGTTTGGGTTCGACTCTTTTTCTTGGTGGTCACCAGCCCCCATCCCGTCTAGGTTTTTGAATGGCCGATAGACAGGCCATTCCACCTTCGGATGGCGACTTGGATGACCCGCCAGGCGGCGGCTCGCCAGCTGCTGGCTCTACGGGGGCTCAGGGCGCGCAGGACGTTTTGGGGAGTGACCGGGAAGCCTTCGCTCGGTTCCAACGCTTTCTCCAGATGGAGAGAGAGGAAGGCCGTGGTCCGACACGTCATAGGCGCCGCCGTGAGCGAGAAGATGAAGAAGGTGATGAGAGTGGAGAAGGAAGAGGGGCTTCCGGACCTCCACCATCCTGGGATGGACAGACCCCATTCGAGGACTATCACATCAAGGCCCAACTATGGATCGCGACGACCAAGGACAAGGCCAAGTCGCGAGGACCTCTTTTGTTGAAGATGTTGACAGGAGCACCCTTCGAGCTCTACAAGCACTGGGCAAAAGATCCTGTCTGGCTCGGAGATCCACGAGGTGCTGAACGTCTTCTTGAAGATATGGATAAGCCTGAACGCTTCGGAGATGACCAGCAGGAGCACATGTTGACGGCCATGTCCCGCATCACCTACCACCTCCGGAGGCAGAAAACAGAATCCTGGAGGGAATACTTCGCCAAGTGGGACAACGCCATTCGAAAAGTCCAACAACACAAGATTGCGCTCCCGCCTGAGTATGAAGGCTTCTTGATGATCAATGGGTTGCAGCTAACCGAGAGCGACACCAAGGCCTTGCTGAATTACACCCACGGCTGCATCAAGCCCAGTTCCATCAAGAGCTGGTTGAGAAAGAACGAAACCAAGTTGTCCGCCTCAGAGCTTGGGGCCGACCGGAAGAAAGCAGCCGGCACCTTCCATACTGAGTATGACGGAGTCTATGCCACCGAGGAGGTCATTGAGGGTAATGGCACCGACCAGGAGGAGATTGAAAACATCGAGCACTACATCATGGAGCTCCAGGACGAAGGGCTATCAGAAGATACCGCCCTGAGTGAATCGGAGGCGGCTGAGATCCTCTCCACCTACCTCGAACAGAAGAAGACCTACACTCAGTCGATCAAGGACAAGAAAACCAAGGAACTCGCCCGAGGCTATGGAGTTAGTCGACGACCAAACTTCAGTTCGGCTCGGGGAGATCGAGATCGACCTCTACGACCAGGATCCTACTCCGTGACGATTGCCGAGCTGCAGAAGAGGACCCGTTGCCGACAATGTGGTCAGATCGGACACTGGAAACGAGATTGCAAGAATCCCCCCATGAAACCAGGCAGCTCCTCATCGATGGGCACATCTCGAACGAACGAGACACACCTTTTGGAAAACACACCCGAGGTGCATTTTGTGGGCAGCCTGGAAATGGAAGAGGTCATCGACAAGAACCTCTCCAGCCATGGACCAACCAGCTCCTCGTCTTTTGAGATGACAGGGACTAAGAACACCTGAACCGCTCATTCTGAGGACTTCAATCGAAGGCCATGCGGACTGTACAGACGTAGCTTCCGCTTCGAATCACTGCTTGACCGCTCGGTCATATACGGAGAGTGACACGGTTTTGGGCTTGGGAATAGGTGAGATTGGTTATGTGGGTATTAGCAACTTGTTTTTCTATGAGAACATGTTTTGTGATCTGGTATCCCAGTACTCCCAACTAACCCCAGATGACGCTACGTGCGCCACGGTCGACACCGGATGCCAGAGACTGGCAATTGGAGCCACGACCTTGAGGAAGTTCAGTGAACATCTACCACCTGGCCTGAAGATCACCATTCACCCCGAGACCAACAAGTTCAGGAGCGTCCACAAAACCTCGATTACCACCCAGGTAGCCAGTGTTCCCAGTTCACTGGGACTGAAAGGCAGTCTCCTGAAACCAGCGGTCTTCGACAGCGACGAGAGCACCAACGCACCGTTCCTCTTGTCCCTCAGCTTCCTCCTTCATTGTCATGGTGACATAGGATTGTGTCTTGAGAAAGGTCTCCAGCTCCGACTTCGCGGAAACCACGAACCAGTCCCCTTACATCTTGGACCAACCGGAGCACTTCGAATTCCACTTCAGGTTCACGGAACTCCAACTGACTACACTACAAAGAGCCCAATCCGAGCAATTAGGAACTTCGCTCCCGGAATTCGAGGTCCTGAAATTGAATGAACCGTGCATGAAACCGCCGGAGCCCGACAAAACTCAAGACATCCCGGCATCGACCTCATCGGTTTCTCCCGCTTGCCATGCAGAACACCGGCCAGAAGCGCAGCCGACCTACTCCACCGGAGACTTCGAATCCGGAGGACAAGGCTGTGAAAGCCTGGACCCAATTGACTCGTCGGCTACTGGTCGTACTCATGCCACTGCAGTACCTGTTCGAACATCTCTTGGAAACCATCATGGGAGCACAGTCCCAACGCCGAGTTCTGGCGCGCCTGATCGAGAACATGTCCGACGAGGACCTCCACCACGTGGCCAAGATGGCCAAGAACGAGATGAAACGTCGTGGCGAGTTGTCGGACAGCTTCATCGTGATCAGCGATCCGGAACAACGCTCGGACGGGTCCCAGAAGAAGGTTCAGAATACGACCTTGGTGAGAACCCAGCGCTGCGACCAGATCGACAGCCTGCCAGGCATCGATATGCTGACAGGACCCCGACCTCGCTGCCGATGCGGTCTACAGGTGAAGATTCATCTGAGTACAGAGACCAACCACGAGGAGGAGATCCACTTTCGATGCCCGAAGTACCCGGGACAACAGTGCGAGTTCAAACAATGGACCCCATGCCAGCCATTGAAAGATGTGACCAGCTGGAAGTACCGTCAACAACCGGGCGAGAAGCCCAAGTCCTATGCAGAGGTGCTGGAGGGAATGGTTCAGGAAATTTGCCCACACTCATCAACCCATCGGAAGGGCTCCAATGCCTTCCTGACCAAGGTGACCTGCCGCTACTGCAACAAGGTGATCCGGCAAGAAAAGAAGGCTGTTGTCACGGAGACGGCTTCTCCCAGCAGCCCTTCAGAGGCACCACCTCGCCCTTCGACTCCAACGCCAACATCACCTCAGGAAGGGATGACCGAACCGGAGGACTACCAGGACTTCATGGACTTCCTGCGCTGGCGCCGGATGAGGGGCCCCTCAAGCCAGTGACCCCAAAGCTTGAAAGAAAGCTCAGGGCGGCCTTAAAGAAGGCTGTGGCTTTTTGGAGACAGGTCCAGTACATCCTCGCAGAAACGCAGGATGGAGACGCGACACTGCGAGACTGGATTTGCAGCTTTAATCATGAACTTTGCAAGGAGTTTACTCTGCACCCTAATGGATCGAAAAGGACACATCAGATTGCCGAAATCATGGGACTTTCTCATATGGGACTTTCTCATAAACAACTTAGAACTGTGGCTGAGATCTATAACCCTGGTTGTTTTGGAGAAATTGCTCACCGCTTCAACCTCAATCCTGGACGCGCTTTTGACTTGAAGTTGGATTGTGATTTGTTGAAGTCAAACAAACGAAACGAGGTCTTGCAGTATGTGAAAGATGTTAGGCCTGGACTTGTCTGCATCGCCCCACCATGTGAAATGTACTCACAGTTGCAAAACCTGTCTAAAAACAAACGAGAACGAGTTCCTGCTCTTCTTCAAAAGTATTTAAAGAGAAAGTCGGAAGGAGAACAACTTCTGTTGTTTGCACTGCAGTTGTGCGAATTGTGCGATAATTTGGGCATCAAGTTCCTTTTGGAACATCCTCACGCTGCCTCCTCATGGAAACATCGTGCCATGGAGCAGCTCCTTTCCAAACCGAACGTAGTGTACACGAAGGCAGACCAATGCCAATACGGACTCCGTGGAGAATCTGGCCAACCCCAAAGAAAACGGACTGGTTTTGCCACCAATAGCACGGAGATCGCCACGGCCCTGAACGCTCTATGCCCTGGCGACCATCAACATGAAGTCATCATTGGCGGCAACAAGTCCAAGAAAGCACAGATCTACCCGGAAGGTCTTCGAGAAGCCATCCTCGCGGCCTACTCACGCTCGATCGGAGCTGAGGTAGGCATCATCACCTCTGAACAAATGTTCCTGGAGAATGATCGCCTGAACTCACTACTGGCAGTAGAACTAATGGTTGACCATGAACTACATCCAGGACATTTACCAGACGGAGATCAGGGAACTACGCTATGTGCTCAACAAGTCCCTGGACACGAACTTCAGCGAAGTCGATCCAGGACGATTAGACCAAGTCGAAAGCGTTCTACCTGGTCCAACATGGGAACTACATGCTGAAGAACCACGTGGTGACGATGATGAAGGAGACCATGAACCGGAGAGCGATGAACGACCAAATGCAACACTACCGCTTGAACGTCGTTTTACCATGGACCGACTTCTACATCGAGCCCATGTCGGAATGGGACATCCAAGCCCAGATCGATTCGTTCGCATACTTAGATATGCCAAAGCGAAACCAGAGGTTATTGAGGCAGCAAAACGGTTGAAATGTAGTGTCTGTCAAAGACATGCCCAAGTCCGACCTGCACGACGGAGTGCTCCGCCCAAGGAGCTCAGCTTCAACGAATGTGTTGGAGTAGATGTTGTCTTCTTGCCAACTTTGGGCAATCGCTCCAGGCCAGCACTCAATGTGATAGACTGGTCGAGCAAATTTCAACTCATGATCCCCTTGCCCAACAAGAAACCAGGACAAGTTCGAGAAGCCTACAGGCACTGGTTGAGACTGTTCGGACCTCCAAAAAGAATGGCCCTAGACCTTGGACGCGAATTTCGTGGTACCTTTGCCGAACAAGTTGAACAAGATGGAACCTATATCGATCCAGCGGCTGTGGAGGCACCCCATCAAAGAGGCATCACTGAAAGACATGGAAAAACTTTCAAATACATCCTCCAGAAAACCATGGACACCTACAGCTGCGGTAACATGCAGGAATGGGAAGAAATGGTAGACCTCACCACCATGACAAAGAACCGTATGATGAACGTGGGAGGATTCAGCCCATGCCAACGTGTTTTGGGATTCAACCCATTCCTACCAGGAGGACTACTAACTGGAGATGATGGACATCGAAACCATGAAGGTGCTCCAACGCCGAAGGTCGGCGACCTCAGCGTCGAAAGATCCATGAAGCTTCGGAAGGCCGCAGCTCAGGCTTTCATCGAAGCCGATGCCGACAACGCCCTGCGGAGAGCTATTTCGTCAGGACCAAGACCGATCCTGGATTACGACATTGGCGAGATCGTCTACTTCTATCGAATGGGAGCGGATAAAAAGCTCAAGTTCAAACCAGGCTACTGGCAGGGACCAGCTCGCATCATCATGATCGACCAGCCCAGCACTATCTGGTTAGCATACCAATCAAACCTGGTCAAGGCGAGTCCGGAACGTCTTCGGAGGGCATCATCCGAGGAGAACATGGCTCTCTCTGGTTGGCTTGATGACATTGTCAATATCAAAAAGGACCTCCATACCGAACCGGTTCGGGGCTTTCTCGACCTCTCCGACCAACCTTTACCTCCAGAACTGGCCGATGGAGATCTAGAAGATCTGGACTACGAGCCATCCGAATCCAATGGCTCCAGTACTAGACGGACTTCAAGAGCCTCTGGGTTACCCACCTCCAGCTAAAAGATACCGAACAAAGGCACCACAGGAAAACCTTCATCAACCCCTTACAGCAGAAGATCAACGAGAACAAGATCAGGACGAACTTCCTGCGGAAGAAGTACCAGGAGAACAACCAGAAGAACATCCTACCATGGACGAGAACAACAAAAGAGAATTCGATGAAGGAGAAGCGCACGAACAACCACCCTTGAAACGGTTGAGACATGAATACCTGGAGATCTACTTGACCAAAGTTGACAACCTGATGAAAACAAGACAGAAAAAGGAGATCCGCCTCCAGGAACTCAGCTTCAAGAATCAGAAATGCTTCAAGGCGGCGATTAGCAAGGAATTCAACAACAACATCAACATTGGGGCATACTCCATTGTCTCCCCAGAAGAGTCAGCGCAGGTTCGACAAACCATGCCACACCGAATCATGGAAAGCCGATTGGTCCTCACCCCAAAACCACTGGAACCTCACGAAGTAGAACCAGCCAAACAGGAAGGGATCCTTCTCGACTGGGATTCTGAAGAGCCCTGCAAAGCTAAAGCCCGACATGTGATGAAAGGATTCAGTGAAGAAGGCTCCGAGGACATAGAGGCAACAACACCTCAGGTTACCAGAGAAGGGACTCTCATGGTCGCCCAACTGGTCGCAAGCCATCGTTGGAAGCTCGGCTTCTTGGACTTCACCCAGGCATTCCATAGTGGAGATGCAATCGAACGGCTTCTTTATGCAACTCCACCTCGTGAAGGTATTCCAGCTCCTCAAACTCGAGAAGGTTTGCTATGGACTCACTGACGGTCCACTGGCATGGTACAACCACCTCAAGAAGTTCCTGACCAGCCAACTGCAATACCAGCAGTCGCTGGCAGATCCATGCATATACTACAAGCATCGGACCTGTCCAAACACTGGCAAACTGATCCTCAGCGGCGTAATTGCGGTCGCTACGGATGACCTTCTCCATGGAGGTGACGAAGAACATCAGAAGGCTATGGACCAGATCAAAGTGAAATACAAGCTCGGAAAGTTCCAATACGGATCAGGAAAGTTCACCGGAAAAATGTTCGTCCAACAAGAGGACTCGAGCATCATCGTGAACCAGGAGAACTACGTCCAGGAGAAGCTCTTCGAGATCAACCTGGAAAAACAACGAAAGAAAAAGAGATACACCTTTTGTGACGACAAGGAGATCACACAACTACGAGCCAGTGTCGGTGCCCTCGCCTGGCTTGCCAAGGAAAGCAGACCCGACTTGGCCGGAAGGGTAGCCCTGCTTCAGCAGGTCTTTCCAAAGCCTCGTATCAAGGACATCATCGAGGCCAATTCCATCACTCAGGAGGCCCAAAAACATCCCTCAAGCGGCATAAAGATCATGCCGATCCAGCCAGAGAACCTGCGAATCGGAGTTGCAACGGACACCTCATGGTCCAACGCCAAAAGCCAAGACCAGTTGGAAGCTAGTTCACAGGACTACTGGGAGGAGAAACCATCACACTGGATTCGACATCATGTCACTCCCAGAAGAGTCCTATTCCATCCAGGAGCCGATCCAGGACCAGATCTTCACGATCTACAACCAGGTCGCAGAACGATGACCACAAACGAAGAAGTCTTGGAAGATGAATGGACAAAAGGAAATAGTGTCCGAACTTGGTCGGATTCCCCTTGGACTGGAAAGACCATCTTCACAAAACAGCTTCCCGGACATGAGTTGGAACACGGAAAGATCAATGACACCTTCCTCAAGCTCCTCAATTGCAGCAGCCAAGGAGGCTATGTGATGATCTTTTATGACAAGAGAATGGAAACCGAAGATCGACCTCACATGGTTTCCGTGACCTCATGGAAGTCAACAAAACTCAAAAGGAAGACCGTCAACACCCTGAGCGCAGAATGCCAATCGCTGGTACATGGCATTGGCCATATTCACTGGCACCGCTACCTCCTGCTCGAACTGATGGGCACGACCATGGAATCCAAGGATTGGGAGCGGCATTTGGCAGCCATCCCCTATGTCTCAGTAGTTGACTCTCGGTCGCTATACGACTGCATCAACAAGCTGGTATGTACCTACTCTCAAGTAGAGGACAAGAGAACGGCTATAGACATAGCCATACTCAAAGATGATCTCTATAGATCAGGGGGTTCCTTACGTTGGGTTGCTGGTGATAACATGATCGCGGATCCCCTTACTAAGAAGATGAACGCGGACTTTCTTAGATGTGTTTGCAATACTGGTTACTGGTCACTCTCCGAAACAGGCCATAGAACACAATGCACCACGCATGACGTTCTCTTGGTCTCGCTTGGCCGTTCGAGTAGGGCCGGTGTGAAAATGCACTGGACGGCCCACGCTCGACTCAAGGCAAGCACTTAGGAGCCAGAGACTCGATGGGGGCTTTGTGTCCACCGGAAAAAGAGTCTTGTTCTTGCTTGTTGGGTCTGTTGCGGTTCCCCCAATTTCATAGAATCTATCACGTTCCTGAATCCTCTAGCAAATCTAATTGCCAATCCCATTTCAGGAGGGTGGTGGTGGAAACACATTTTCCGAAACCAAAAAACGCGAACAATCCGTACAATACAGTGCATGTCTCGGTGTCTTTGTCTTACGTGTTTCCGCACATCTTTCTCGTGGTGTGCGCTGGTGCTTGCAAGTCGATCCCACAACTTGCGTGAACACCCCCATGGCTTGAGGTGTCTAAGTCTATACGGTTGGCCAACATTCGAAAATGACTGGATCTGACTGATTTCTTCTGGGCTTACCTATGTCAAAAGTGACGGACCCTGAAAGGAAACTCCGAACAGGTGCAGTCTCCCCACACATTCTGCCGACCAGTCGCGACACTTCTCTCCGTACAGGCATCGGCCCTGCTCAAACTTCCAGCACCGTTGAGTGCCTTGGACCAGCGGAGCACCCCCAAGAAGAGCAAGCGTGATCTAGCCAGAGTCAGAAGCTCAAGACGAAAGGGCTCGCCATCATGGGGAGGCGTACAAAACACCGTTTCACCGGGCACCGGGCACTTCATCTTACTTCATCAAGCCCCAAAAAACAAAAAATGCATTGGCCTTAGTAAAGCACGTTTTGTAAGTTTGGGTTCGGTAAGGGGGTTAACAGGGTTAGTGATCCCGCCGCCCTCTCGACCGCAGATGGCCTCAACCGAGCGTGACTGTGAATGAGGGTGATCAGCAGGATGATAATTGTAGCAGTTGCGTCAAACGGCGCAGGAGCATAGGAACATCATACGTATATGGCCACACATATTTTGCGCAAGTTGGGCGCGCCTCGACCAATGCGGCCCCACATTGCTCGGTGGCTGGGGCTACTGGCTGCGTCTTTGCCACACCCCAGTCCACCGAAAGCAAGCTGCAACCCAACTCCCGGCTCACGCGGCTGGACGGGATGACTGGGCGAAGTCGGCATGCGGGTCTATTCTATTTACCTACCCATTCTTTCGGCCAGCAATCTCGAGGAAGTCCTACCCAAGTATCGACGCCCTGCATGGGTGCTGGGGTGTAGGCTTGTTTGCCATCAGCTTGCTCGGCAGTGTACCCTGGTTGGGAACCGTAGGCATCCACCACCTTCCATTGTAGCGGGCGAAGAGCCTAGCTCCGAAAATAGTGCTACGTCGGCATTCTCATCCCTAACGTGGTTTCCCTGAAAGACCATTCTTCCCTTGTATTTCCTTAAGGGGTCACCAAGGGGAAGTTCTGATCCCTTCTCAACGCAGATTTCGAACACCTTGCCCATGTGCACGCTTGAGGTTGTACACTCTTTAGGCGGCTGGGCGCCGTCCGATCCACAGCCCCCGGCGTGGGCGGTGGTGTCTCTGTCTCAGTCATGTTTGGTGGTGTCTCGGTCATATTTTTGTTGTGTCTCGGTCATGTTTAGGTGGTGTCTCGGTCATTTTGAGATGGTGGTTTAAGTGGGGTCTCGGTCATGCTTCTGCTGTGTCTCGGTCATGTTTAGGTGGTTTAGGTGTTGTTTGGCCATGTTTAGGTGGCGTCTCGGTCATGCTTAGGTGGAGTCTCAGTCATGTTGAGGTGGTGTCTCGGTCGTGTTTCTGTTTCGTGTCGGTCATGTTTATGTGGTGTCTCGGTCATGTTTAAGTGGTGCCTCAGTCATGTTTAGGTGGTGTCTCGGTCATGTTTTGGCCTTCCCTCGGCCATGTTTAGGTGGTATGTCTTGCCATCATGTTTAAGTGGTGTCTTGGTCATGTTTTAGTGATGCATGGGTTGTGCCTTGGCGGTGCCTCGGTCATGTTTTGGTGGCGCGCTGGTCATGTTTGGGTGGTCTCTCGGTGTCTCGGTTATATTTGGGCAGTATCTCGGCCATGTTTCGTAGGTGTCTTACTCGTACTCGGGCGGTGCGCTGGTTATGTTTCGGTGGTGTGTGTGTGTGTGTCTTGTTTTGCTGATTTGGTGGTGTTGGTGGTGTATTGGTTCTGTTTTGGCGGTGATTTGTTGATGTTTTGGTGGTGTCTTGCTTGTTTATGTTGTAGTTGCGTCTCGGGCTCTGTATATGTTTTGCCTGTATGAACTGTGCGCTTGTGTGTCCATGGGCCTGCTGCGCATTGGGTTCTGGCACTTGAGCATTGTATTGCGCGCGAGTCGATATGCTTGAGACGAGCTTCCCCATATTGCTCGTATTAAGTCTGAGCTGGCGAGAGGATGCGTGTTCTGCTTACGTCGATATTTCCTGTTGCCGCCTTGAGAAATGATAAACATTTCGATAAACTACGCGCTTGCGTGTCCAAACGCGTGTCGTCCGTGGCCACGATGTTCATACGTTGTGTTTTCCTTTGGTGGCGGTTTATTGTTGTCAGATGATTGCACTGATCCCCCATGATATCCTTTGAAACGTCTCATTCTTTGTCTGTGTGGAGATGTGCGCGCCGGTGTCCAAACACCTTTTGTGCTTAGTGTGTTTTTTCGGCCCTGCCGTCACTCAAGCAAGGGCGCTGCCTCGCCCGGGCCTTGCGGCTTGCCCTTGCGCCCCAAGGCGCCCTTGACTCTAGTTGTAACAGGGTTCTTGCACGCGCGCGTCCAGACAGCCCTGCTGGTTGTCTGGCCTTGAGACTTACTTACACTTGCGGCCAAACTTGACTTTAGAGGTAACAGGGTTCTTGCGCACACGTCCTGACAGCCCTGCTGGTTGTCTGGCCTTGGGACGTGTGGACAGGCCGGACGTTTGTTGGTCCATATCAAGCGATGCTGAAAAGACACGATTTTCCTTTGCCGGAAGGATGAACGCCAGTGTTCTTTCAAGGTGTGTTGAAATTGCTGATGACTTCAAGATGTCCGGGCCCAAAGAATCCATGAAACGAGGATGGGAACCAGCCTTCTTGCCAGCTTCCATTGGCTGATGGCACAGGGTGGGTGCACTTTGCATGCCCACTCTCTCCCCTCATCATGCCACATGCCTGGCAATGTCCACCAAGCCCCTGAGCTGTGGTATGTACTGCTGTTTTTCGCCGGGATAATTGTGTATATATTTTGTATTTTTCTTTTGTATGCATTCACAATTTTGTCTTTCTATTTTTTGGCAAATACAAAAAATCGTCTTTTGCATTTTAAAAAATGCAATTGTGTTTTCGTATTTTTGTACTGTTGGAAAATACCCCCCAAAAAAGTCGTATTTTTAGTATTGTTAAGAATACAAATGTTCAGCCTCGAACTGCGAGCCGGCAAAACCCACCAGCAGACTTTCTTGACAACCAGCGAAACGTGGTCAGGCTACCCGACAACCACGATAGGCTGCTCCAAAAGACAAAGGAACCAGCTTCCCATCCTCCGCATATCAATGCGTATCAAGTGGCAAACGTACGTGAATATTGCTTGCAGTTTTGCATTTTGAGGGGGATGTATCTTTGAAAAACACAAAAGTCAAACGTGTATGTTAAAACATACAACTGGTGAATTTGTATGTTCCAGTCGTGTTTTTTGTACTGTATATATATATATATATATTGCTTATAGATGCTTATAGGCTGTACCTGGAACCGGGGAACCAAGCATAAACGGCGGCAACAGCGTCCATGCGAGCCACGCGGCGAGAGCAGGACAATTACATTGGCTTGATTATAGTGACAGCGGCACGGCCTTCTGTGGTTGACCCTCGGAGAAGGTGGTGAAGGGCTCACCAACCAAAGCCTTTGGTGCCCACACCCGGTCGCAAGTGGCTCGGCCCGAGGCTCCGGGTCGCGGGACAACCCGAGGCTCCGAGCTCTGTGTGGCTTGGTTGGCCTGGTTGGCAGGTCAAACGGGTCAAAGCAGGGTGCCCGGATGTGCGGCCTCACTCGAGTCTCGGTTCTCAAGCGGAGAGGAAAAAAGCTCGGAAACAGGAAGTTGGGGAGGAGGAACCCCTTATGGTGCCTTTTTGCAGATGCAGAATCCATCCGCAAGGTGCCTTTGCAAACCCGAACCAGCTAGCGGCTAGCGGAACCAGCTACTTCATCGAATGTGTTGCCCCACTGACCGAGTCGTTCGCCCTTGTCACAACGCCTCCAGTTCGCCTACCCGTACAAGTACTCTTCAAGCAGCTGATGATCCAGATCATCATTCAAATCCTGGTTCCATTCGTCCAAAGGCTTGCATTCATCCAAAGCTCACGCTTGGTTGGTGTATTTGAGCGGTATGACCGCTCCGACCTCGCACCAAGAGATACCCGGTACCCCTCGTCTCCGACCGCGCCTTCTCATCGCGGACGGCCTCAGAAGCCGTTCTGGGGGAAGAGGAACTTTGGTTGGAACCAGTGGAGGTGTTCGCTCGCCTCTGCAGGATCCTATGCAAAAAATCTTGGAGGATCCTGCTGCAGGAAAACAGCAACCTGTCGTTGAGTCTTGAATCTGGTTGGATTCTATACAACAAGTGGCCACCTCTTTCATTCACTCCAAACCCGTCCTTTCGCTCCGCAGCCAGCGTCTTCGGCAAACCGAGGCTCCCGCCATGTCTTCCCACCAGGCCTCCTTTGCCACGAAAAGCGACCCACTGCGCCCGGGTTTCGGAGCTTCAGTTCTTGGGTTGGGCCCCATGGGAGGGTTGGTTGAGGGGTTGGCGTTGCCAAGTCTCAAAAGGAGCAGTTCCGATATCCTACAGCTGCTGGCACTTCTGGCTGCAAATTGGGATGCCAAGACTCCAGCAGCTTCAGGGAAGGAAAAAGAAACACCACAGAAGGGAAGAAACGTACACCATTGCCGAGCTGAGCAGATCTTGAGAAGTGCTGAGCAGATCAGGAATGTCTTAGCTGATCTGAGCTGATCAGAGCATACCATACCCACCAGAGGAACCTTCCCAAACACTCCATCAGACTGAATATATTGCATACATTGACCCCCTCAAACCAGCCAACTGATCAGCAAAAAATCATGAAAAAATCCATACTCAGCACCCGAGACCTGCCAGGTCACCGTCACCACCCGGAGACTTTGAAGCCACGTCTCCATTGCAGCCAGGTGCTGGCTACGGTGCTGGTCACCGGTACACTCCCAATACTCCATGGCTACGTGGAGTTGGAGGAGTTCACCACCAGGCCCATGAGTCCGAGTCTTCAGGGCCCATGAGTCTTCCAGGGAGTGTACAGGGCCTCGGAACTCACATGGAAGTGGGTTATATCATGCCCCCCTGTGTATAGTGGGTGACAAATGCCCCCCATGTCGATGGTCACACGTTGTAGAGTAGAGTAAAGAACGTGGGGCGCCATCCACGAAACCATGTGAGGTTCCACAGAGTGCAAGCCTCTGCGCTGCTTGAGGACCGAGCCCGGGCAGTTTCGCCCCGAAAGGGACCGGAAAGGACCGCAACTTCCGACTTTGGAAGCTTGAGCTGTACCACTTCTTCATGCATGTTCTCTTCCAGAGTCTCTTCTTGCATCAAAAAGAACCTGTTTGGATCAAAGCCACTGAAACGTCGCAACCACCTTCCCACCTCCCCGCACCTTCCACTCGCCGTGGACCCGTCGTGCGGTCCACACGTCCTGTTTCGGCGTGGAGACGACCTCCACCTTGTCGCTCACGGGGCGGTTCCACATCTCACGGGCCTTGCCTGGGCGAGGTTTCGGACGAGGTTTCGAGCGGACAGTTCGGACGTTTTGGGGCAGGAAAGGTGGGGTGCATCACCCGTTATATAGAACCAGACTCATTTATGTGTATATATATATTATATATTATGGATATGATTTGATATGTAGATGTAGTGGGTTCATCAGGTATTCGGAAGAGCTGACTTGGACGTTGATGAACAGGCAGCACTGGATGTGACTGGTTGACCGTGTTTGAGGTGATCTGGATGGGCAGCACAGTTGAGCAGCATGGCGCCCGACTCGGATGGCCCTTTAGACACTCGGTCCAATTCCAGCTCCGTCCGCGGGCGCGCCCCACTGGCCGCCTTCCCTCGAGCACCAAACACCAGGCGTGGACTGGCCTTCCCTTCCCTTCCCCCCCACCCGAAACTGCGTCATTCATCGCAGGCCAACGAAGGCAAACCGCCGTCGCTAGGCTTCGAGCTCTTCCATGAGCCATCCTGCAGGACGGGGGCCAGTCATCCCATCGGTGGATGAAAAAGCCGAACGGAACCCGCGGTGTTCCGTCGTGGTCCAAGGCGAAAGGTTCCAAAGCCACCCGCGGCGGAGGTGCAAAAAGATCCTCCCACATGTAGAGAGAACTCCAAGAACTTCAACCATTTTCCACCTCGTTAGGGCCTCACAACCGCTCTAGAGGAGACCTGTTACAGTCGGGTACTGGTAGAGAGACGGAGAACTCCTCCAAAACTCCTTTTTATGCTGTGTCCGCGAGGACCAAGACAGAACGACTCGCTGGTGCCCACACAGAGAGTGGGAAATTCACATCAAGAACTTGCGGGGAAGGGGAAGGGCATCTACAGCAAATGATGCTGACCCTGCAGATCACGATACCATTCTGGCCATGTCCGATGTTGATTCCTTTTTTTGGATGCTCGGCCAAACTCTGGAAGCCAGATCTTCTGAGAGTCAAAGACTGTTCAAAAGAATGGTCTGACTAGGGTACCTGAGTTTGGGAACTTCCTTTGCTTCGACAAAAGAAGAGCCTTTCCTTTCGACTTTTTAGGGAACCAATTCTCTGCTCCCTGATCTTCCGCGCGACTAAGGTTCGCGGATGGGAGGTCTTCTACATAAATGGTTCAGCACAAATGCCTTCCACACCTGGTCTTTCGTCTAAAACCCTTAGAACCATGGGTTCTTTGGGAATCCACCGATTCAACGCTGCTTTGGATGCGGTATTCACCCATGCCAACTCTGCCGTCAAAACACCAAAAAGCCGCCCACCGAGACGCCCGGCCTTCCAGGGATCATGTTCTCGAGCTTCTTCTGCTCCCACCAATGACTCAAAGGGGGCCGGCCGAGCGCCGAGCTGAAGAGGCCCCAAAAACAGAACAACGAAACTGCCGCGCTTCAGCGGACCCCGTGCATCGAGCTTTTTTGGGGGGGCTGCATCACCGACCGCATCTCTAAGAGTCCAGCGAGGAACGCATAGCCCGTTCTGGACCAGACCCAACCATAGGTCCATAGATAGGTGCACTCCCTCGCCAAAAAAAAGAAACAAAGCGCCAAAGGACCCCGAAATAAGTCGTCGCAGTGAAGCCGGGTGCCCGAACTTGCATTGGCACGCGGCTCAAATCTAAGATCCACGTCCAAAGGTCTTCTTCTTCCTTCAGATCCTCCTGTCGACGATTGATTCATACAACCCCGGAGATGCTGAGGTTTACGTTGCGGTTGGCCACGAGGCAGCAAAGAGCCTGCTTTTCATGGTGTGGCCTCCAAGCCGCGAACCGCATGGGTATCAAATCCCACAAATCCAAAGGAACTTATCAAGATCTACTCTACCCGGAACACCGCTTGGTTCTTTCATGTCACTCTTCGCTGGAAGCGCTAAGACGGGTTTGTCCAGCTTGCAGATGCTGCAGGGTGTCTTCCTTCAGTAGCAGAACTGAACCAGTTCGGGTTTTGGCTTGAGATAGCAGCAGATAGCCTGCAACTCTTCGGCATGTTCCCCTGCCCACCGGTCCGAACTCATCCAAAGCTTCTCGCCGTTTGAGAGTAGAAACTCCACGCTCTTTCCATCCTGGCCACCGGGCGCCCCCGTGCGGCAGGACCCCGGAACCGGGCGCGGCGCTCGTCGCGGCGGTTGGTTCGGTCGATCCACGGGTCGTCTGCCGTCTCGATCGAAGATCGAAGCGAAGCTGCTGTCTGCAGTCGATGAAGATTGATCCAAGGAACATGCCAATTCAAGAAAGGCTCCTTCTCTTCAAACTCTGCCTTGAACTATTGCCACTGACCAGTTTTGTTGAAAAGGCCATCAGCCACTTCGCCTGTTGAACCCCACTTGTCAACAATGTCCATAGCAACTGCGCTCGGGGTTTGCTCGAGCTGAGATGAACCCAGGTCTCGATGGTTCTAGTCATTTGGCTGGGTGTGAAAGGTTACCTGGTAAACCATGCTTCCTTGACATTTCCACAGACTAAAACAAACACACCTGCTTCAGGGTCCCGCCTGCTTCTGGGTTCCACCCGCCCAAACGACCAGCTCGGCCCTCCCGCTTTATGGACTGCGCGCAGCTTCGTGGAGCTCAGGAGACCCATCATGCGAGCCTTCTCGGACCTGCTTTCCGCTCCGGACCGGACGACAGCGATGGACGACAGCCGGTGACTGGGGGGGTGGTAACCACGCCGATTCGCCTGACCTGCCAAGGTCAGACTGAGCAGTTTCCGTGGTGAAGCTGAGACAGAAGCTTGTTTCATGGACTAGGAAACAAAGCGGTTATCAAGACCATGCTGACCATGCTAACCCTGAACTGGTTAGGTTTAACGGTTAGAGGCTTAAAAAAAAATAAAACAAGTGGTTTGCGAGCAAGAAAGATGGAATCGGGAGTCAGCTCTCACCCAGACCCTTTCATTCATGAATTCCCTTGAGATGACTAGTGCCAAACATACCCCCTTCTCCAATAGAATGTGTCTTTCTTAGATAGATGGACAACCAAACAAACCATTGATGTATGAAGGAGGACCATCTGTCCAGAGTCCCAACAAAAGGGTGGAATCCAGGTTCAGTTCAATGCGTCACCCAAGCCGACTCAAATCGACCAACCCCACCATACACCACCCAGTTCGGGTGGCAGTAGTAGCCACCCTGATGATGTATGTGCCTTCCAATCAACCCCAATAACCTGAGTACCAGCCGAAGCTAACTGATCTCCTCTCGCTCCTCTCTGCCCCCCCGGCCATCGCACGAAGCAGCCCAGGACCAACGAGACCTCCTCACGGCGGAAGGCCTCAGCGGAAGGCGACGAAGGCCCGACCACCCAACGAGGTGGACCAGCATCGGCACCTCAAAGGGTCACTTGTTGGAAGCCCTGAAGAATGTACAGTGGGGGTGGACAAAATCAACAAACCCCAGAACATCATATGTTTCCCACACCCCGCACCTCAAATCTCCATGTTACAAGTTCAGAAGTTCCACCGTTTTTAATACGGCCCTTGAAGTTTCGCCCATTCGGCCCATTCGTCTCCGGAAACCCATTGAGCTTTGGGGGATGGGGGTAAGTGGTGGTAAAAGGGTAAGATCCTCCACGGGGGTGGAAGGTGCAACGGAGATCGCTTTGGTGCCATTGGCGGTCTCAAAATCTGTCAGCGTCTGACAGCAAATCTCCTCGCAGGTCGTCATACTCACCATATGGATGGGATGCAGCTCAAAGAAAACAACAGATTTGTCAAAGCTTAAAGTAATCCCCCGTTTTTCCCCTAGGATTGGTCGATAGGACGACTCTGCGAGCCGACCCTGACTCGTCCTGCGCGCGAGTCCTGCGCGAACCCCTTCTTAATATCCGCTTGCTCGGGAGCTTCCAAACGGAGCTTGCGTCGTTTGCTTCGCAAAGCAAAGAAGGGAACAAAGTTGAACAAAGGATCGAGTTTGCAAAAGCCAAAAAAAACACCTCGAGTTTTGTGAAGGCGGTTCTGGAAATTCACTTCTCAGATCTTCTCAGCATCTCTCTCTCTCTCTCTCTCTCTCTCTCTGTCTCTCTTGACACTTCTGCTGTACGGTGTAACTGTGCAGTGTGCTCGTTCCCTGCCGCGCCTCCAAGCCATACTTCCCAGCATTGTTCCAGATGAACTCCTCAGAGCCGGCTCTCCAGAGTCGGACCGCCCCACATGGTCCGGGATCCACACGGAACACGGACCGAACACCCCGGAGCCTGGGAAGGTACCGTACCACAAAAATCCTAGGTCCGTACCCACACGACCAATGGGACCGGCATATACATCCATTGGGGTGGTGGAAAATGGTGGAAAAGGCCCAAAAACTGGCTGTGGGTCATGGCAGACCTTGGTTGACCGTCCGACATGGTGGACTGGTGCTCCAGGCTTTGACCTATCCCCCTATGGGTCGAGGTTTTTGGCTCCAGGTGGACCAAGACTCCAAGTGAATTTCGATGAATTTCCTGATGCGCCATGAAAAAATTACTTCTTGTCCCCGCACAGCTGCCTCCTTTGCCTAATCGCCGAATCCAAGCCAGATTTGGGTGGAGGACCGCTGGAGGTGTGAAACCCTTCAATTGAGACTTGAAAGGCTTGAAAGGGAATTTCCTGTACTTCGGTGGTGCCAAGTATAGTCGAACTGGACTTCTATTTAGAGGTATATGATTTGCTTGGAAGTTCAGGACCGTCTGGTGTTTATGGGTGGTCTTTCAGGACACGCCTTGACCTCTGAATCACTGATCACTCTTCTCCCATCTCATCTTTCCCCCAGACCGCCACCGTACAGACCGCGCCTTGGCAGCGTTCAGGTCTTCCAGACCGGTGAGCTGGCGAAGGAAGATCCACAGGTCCTCTCAAGCAGAGCTGGCGCAGGAAAATCCCGCGGCCTTCTTCGTTAGAACCTTGTAGCCGCCACTTCGCGTGCTATGATCCAAACAGGATCAAAAAGAATGGGAAATGGGGAAATGACCATCCTGAACAGAAGCTAGTGTTCAGACCGGAAAGAGATCGTTGGTCGGCAAACGAAGGCTCTGTTCTGCGACTGCGGCAGAGTTGCTGGTGAACCTTCGTTCCTAGCTGGCCCCAAAAGAATGCGAACAGATCGGGGACTGGACGAGCCAAAGGTGCCCCCCAACACCCTCCTCCACTGCCCGAATTCGCTTCTCAGGGTTCACGGTCCCGTCCACGCCGCGGGGGTCCCGCTTCTTTGGGTGGCCCCTTTTGGGTTTCACTCGACGTCGCATTGGGCGGCCCAAACCCTCCGGCGCCCAGAAGGGGTGGAAGGTCTGTGGGGTGAAGCCATGGCCCCATGGTGTGAAGAAGAAACCACACGGCACGGTCTTTAAGACCAAAGCGACCAATTCTTGGAAGTCCGTGTTCCTCCACAAGACGCATGGACTTTGGGTGATCCAGGTGGCCTGCCAAGGGCCAAGGGCCAAGGGGCTTGAGAGTGGCATATACCAACTCTTCACGGCCGTGCCCTGCGTCACCTCCTCCTCTTTGGCATCATGCAGGCCCAAATGAAGGCGTTCTCAGTGGATCACAACGGGTTCCACTTCTTCCGAGCGGTCGTCGATGGTGTGAGACTCTCCACAAACCCACTAGCTGATGTGCCATTGCTGGAAAGAAGCTACTAGTAACAAGGGCATCGCTACTAGTAACAAGGGCATTACCACTAGTAGCAAGAAGCTACTAGTAGCGATGCACTTGCTCCTAGGGCCTTCACAGGACCGGTCCCCAATCCTGGAGGTGGTCCGGTGTGTCAGAATTCGAGAACGAAGGAAGGGGTGCTTCTCTTCATGAAAGCTGGGTCTGTTCCACAAACTTTAAAAATACAAAACACCTGCTAAACCTGAAGTCTTTGTCAACATAGCTTGCATCTGCGGTGGAATTTCTCGGCAAACTCCGCCCGAAACGCCACTATGTATGTCCATCCGGTTTTGAGTTCCTCTGCTGGGAGCTCCCGCGCTTGGTCTCTGGAAAATACCATTCGTAGGAACGCTTTTCCATCGGTGCCTGTGGCGGGAAGAGTTTGGCCTTTTGGAACGAGAAGGACTGCGTATAGGCTATAGGCTTATGGCAAACGGAACAGGAATCCTATTGGGAGCGTGTGTATGTGTGTGTGGTAATTACTCGTCACGCCGTCTCTTGCAGGAAACCAAAGATGTGCGCTGTCTCACCCAAACTCGCATGGTCTCTTGGATCTACCGCTTCCCACCAAGCTGACCGTCCCAACCCAGTGTCTGACCGTCCCAACCCACTGGACCCAAAGGTGTTGATCTGGTCTGGGGGCGGTGGGATGTCTCACGCAGGGGGTCGGGTCCTTTTGTTGGACCGAAACGGACGCCGAAAGCATCTGACCAATCCCGATCAAGTCCACCTGGAAACCGAAGACTCAGGAACCACAGAAACGCCTTGGGAACCTTCCCAGAATTCATTTCGCCCTTCCTTCTTAAGACTGCAGAACTCCCCTGTCGGCGCCCCACGACCTGCTCCGCTACCCTGGAACTGCTTCATCCTGGGTGACCTGCGGAAGAGAGAATCCAGCCCTCCCTCCAGCGCACGATGGCCCGCATCCAGCCCTCGCCTCTGGCTTGTACTTCTGGGTCCACTGCGAGCAGACGGGCGACCTTGTTGGCCAGGCGAGCATTCGGATGTTTCAAGGGATCATCCTTACCACTCCCTGTGAATCTCGGATCCAAACGTGGTCACATGTTGTCCGGATCCAAAAGATACAAGATATACAAGCAAGTCAGAACATCCTCCACTCGGGAACAGTTCTGGATCGGGGCTTAGTGAAACAACTTACTATATTGAAAGGCAAGGCAAGTTAGGCGTCGCGGCCATCGAACATTCGCCCATTTGTTCGCCGTCCGACGCGAAAACCCTGACGTCTGACACCTAAGAGCACCACGGATGGCGGTGCTACAAACATCAATTGGCAGGTGGATGGGCAGGCTGCACAAACAGGCCTGATGGTTCACACTGAAGACTCACGATGGCCGGCTATGTCAAGGCTCGGGTGCTTTCCTGCATCCTTCGGCATCCTTCGGCATCCTTCGGCCCCGGGCCCTCCCCCCATCCTCAGCCGGGGCCGATGGGCCCCGAAACCGGCCGAGCCACGTCACTTTGATGCCATGCGCCCGCGCCTGGGAGATGAATGGTTGGAAGGGCGATGAATGGATGGTTCGCCAAAAAGAAAGGGAACGGAGAACTCATGAGAACTCTAGAGTCTATACGGTATACCATGCAAATCTATGACTAAGACCTGCAGGTTCCTGCTAGGTCATCTGGGTCTTGGTTGTTCAATATCACCTCCGTCCCGACGAACGGCGCGCTCATCCACCAGAGTCTACGAACGGTGCGCATGAGGAATGGTACGCATGTACATGCATGTACGCACATCTGCAAGCTCCCACGTGGCCCCCCGGACCTTCTGTGAAAAGCGCAAGTAGAAAGAGTTGATCAACAAGGTCTCCTGCTGCGGGGACAACCCGGTGACCACATCGACCACCCGGCGACCACATGGCGCGGACACAAAACGATCCACAAACGGTGCAACCGGCGGCAAACCAATGGAATTGAGGATGATTTGTCCAGCAGTTCCATGGAGGAAGTGGTATGAAGTGGTGCCAAACTCACATCCACGGCCCCTTTGGATGGGACGAAGCCAACGCCAACCATTACCATCGTCGCTGCCCGGTTTCCTCAAAACTGGTCCAAGCCGTTGGACTTCGCCCTCCGGATTCACTGCGAAAAGAGACCTCTCAGAGGAGAACGACATCTCCAATGAGAACGACATCTCCAATGTAAATGGCGCTCATTCCTGTGTTGACCTTGCGGGTGAATTGGCTTTGTGACGGTGTTGTTTTACTTTCATCCACGGTCAACATGTCTTATCTTTTTTGCGCAGCGACGCTCCAAAGGGTCCTCTGCATTGAGCACCCGGGGGCACTTCCCCTGGTAGCGCCTCAGACGAGTAGACCCACAACGAGACGAGTAGAGACCGATCAGCCAAATCAATTCCCTCCGCCGACTTTGAGCTGCTCGCCATCCTGGTTTGAAGCTGCTCGCTCCCTCGCCGCCCCACCACCGCAGAAGACCGTTCGACGTGCTCCAAGGGCCCCCCGGCACTTCTCGAATCCGTTCGACGAAGTCCATCTTGGTGAAAATCGTCCTCCGCACCATCCAATGACTGGGACGCGATGGAAACCCTTCCGTGGTTGCTTCGTTCGGAAGCAGTGCATGGTCCGTCCCATGTGTCGCCCTCGGAGTCACGGCCACGGAGTGGTGAGATGGCGGTCCTTCCGTTTCGTTCGACAAACAAAATCGTATGCGATGTCAACCGAATCCGCATTGCTTCTGGTTCTCCCATCTTTAGGTGATGCGTGTTCCATCAATGAGACGTTTTTAGGGGATCGCTTTCGCCTTCATGGATCTCCAATATGTGGAGGGGTGGATTGTCTGAATCGTATGACTCCCGAGATCACCGACCCGTTTGATGTCAACAATCACCGACCTCAAACGGGTCGGAACTTCCCTCAATGACGACCGCAAAAATTGCCTGTTACCAATTGCCTGTTACCACACACTCCACACACTGTACAAACAAGTACAGCAAGAAGAAAAAGAAGCACCACACACAGGGAATCAGACGGCCGAACCTGTTACCTGGAAAAACGACTTGTCTCCAATGATCTTCCCCTCATTGTCATCATGGTCATGTATCCTACCGAAGACCAGGCTGGCTTTCCAAACCGTCAAGCCAGGATGAATCCGTCTTTTTCTCGCCAAGAGTTGGAACTGTTGCAACCGTCGCGGGGGCCGCGCGACGGACCCTCTTCGCTGCCTGAACGTGACGGCGTTCATCGTCGCAGGGACCGGATCGGGATACTTGTCCTGCGCGGCGAACTGACTCCGACGATGCGAAAGGACCGGAGTTCCGGTTCCGACCCCCCCCCCCCGAAGCACGGATCCGGGTCATGAGTTTGTGCAGGGTCAGCTGCTTGTTGCAGGTTGAGATTCTTGGCAAACTGAAACACCTCTGTTAATCGTAGTAGATTCCCCATCATGGTGCCGGAGTTGTTTTCCTTCAGTCCCTTCAACAAACAGATTGTTGGTTTAGAGGGCCCATTCAAAAGAACACACCCTACAATCAGAGGCAAAGGGTATAATATAGGACGAGCGAAGTTCCAAGCTACTCTTCAAGCTGAGTGCCTCATGAATGTCTTGCATGCATGAAAGCATTGAGGTTTAATAGGCTCATGTGCAACAACGCACTACATATATAATTAACCTGATTCGATCAATTCGTTCCTCAAGAATAGTCGGGTTGGCAAAAAACAATTGTGTCTTTGAGGAATCCCTTCTCCTACTGTTGGTTTTATCCGTGGAGATCCCCGAACAAATGGAAGGATATCCAATACATGTTCACAAAGGATCCACTCTTCTATCTATTTTCGGGTTCTGCTTTGCGAGCTCGTCTTCTCCACAACAAAAACGTTCCGAAACACCCAAACACCACTGGCCGCTGCTCCTCCAACGTTTCCTGTGCGGTTGCGGCTTCGTGGTCACCGGCTTCGAGGCTCTTATTGCTCACCATCGATCCAACGAGTCTGGAGTTCTTGGATGAACCGGTGGCCTATGAACCGGGCCGCAGAACACGAATCTGGTACTGTAGCCTACCCTCCAGCCTCCAGCTTCCAAGATTGGAATGCTCAAGAGCTGGGCAGCTCCAGCACCAGCATCTCTCTCCCACGGGTCCCACGGATCGTTTTCTTCGCCCATCTGCGCGGGATCTCCGCAACAAAGATGCCAGGACCGGTCTCTCGCCGGCTGTCGGCTGTCGATCAAGCCGAAGGTGGTCCCGGGGGCGGCACCCAGCGCAGGATCCACCACGGATCGATCGCTGAAAAGGAAGAGGGACCGAACCCAGAGGCGCTGCATGGAGACCGAACCTGCTGCAGTTCTGTGGTTCGGCGCCGAACCGCAGTTCTGTATGTGCGGTTTCAGAAGGACAGCCTCAGAAAAGAACCCAAACCAAACCTCAGAAAAGGGCACACAAATCCTCAGGATGGGCGTCCCAATGGGTGTGTGTGGAAATGGGGAGAGCCTCCAAAGACCCTAGGGTCAAAGATACAATATTCAACCCATTGGGGCTAAGGGGGTCAGATTTTGGAAATGAAATGAGCAATGGCCACACAGGGCCAACCATTCCATGCTAGTCTTTACCCGGTGCTAAGGATTGCTAGCTTTCTGAAGCTTTGGCGAACGGACAGGAGCCCTTTGGGACTTCGCCCTTCAGAGTGCCTCCGCTCTTCTCAGCCCGTCCTTGGCTCTGTCCGCTGCGATGGTCCTCTTGCCATCTCGAGCGACGGTCTAGCGTTGGCACTGCCGGCACTGCCCTCTGTATGTCCACTCTGTAGATCCTGCGCAGCTCTGGAAGGGCGTTGCTCAGCACAGGCGTCACGGCATCCATTCAGCTGCTTTCGCTCACCTTGAATAAATCCAAAGCACTTGAGTGATGCAAAGCAGCTGCGAGCTCGCCTTGAGTGTCTGATCTTTCGCACTTCGCACTGACGTCTTGTTGAGGTTTTTCCACGACTGTGGAAGCCTGGATCAAGAGATGCCAAGAGGGATGCCAAGATCCATTCAATATACTCCATACTGAGCTCCCACAGCGCTGCTCCAGCGCTGCTCGATGTCGGACGCTTCAAAGCTCCATGTGCTCCGCCAGCACCGCTTGGTTGTCATCCAGTGGCTTCGGCTTCGGCTTCGCAAAGCGGCCTGAACCGGGTCCAATCTGGGAATAAGGAAAGAAAAAAGTGGTTCATGCACTTGATCTACTGGAGGGAGAGCTTGGAGAGTAGCCATTGAATTGATACAATGGGAGGCCCCCCAATTTGGAGATTGTAAAACATTTTTGGAGGTGCCAGGTGGAGCTTCTCCGACATTCTGTACACGGAGAGCGTGGACCGCCCAGATGGCTTTGCTGGTCCAAGAAGATCCAAAAAGTGGCAAATGCACATCCACATGCTGCTAACTTGCTTGCGTCTAACACCCACTCGAAAGACTTGGATCCTGTTGTATGGTATCGTATGTGTATATATATATATATAGTTGTCTATTTATGTATTTACTAGCAGTTACTAGCACTGGGATAATGATGGTGAGCCGGGACTTGCACACGAGATACACCACCAATGGATACTACTTGTAACATGGTTCAATATCGTTTCACAGAATGCTTCTGCCACTAGGGCCAAAGAGATATATATATATACATACACACGTGATATAGAATTATACTAAGTAAATATATTATATATACATATATATATATATATATCGACCCAACCAATGCCGGCGCCGGATGGCACCTTTGGGCCGGCTCTGATAGAAGATGAAATCCTCCGTGTCGGCACGGAACTCCTCGCATGGGCCAAGTGAGATTGCTAGTGACCCACCTCTGGCCATAGACATGAAGCACATGAAGGCCCAGGACTGGGCGGCCATACTTTCTCCATCTCTCCCCCTACAAACCCCATGCCATCCTCCAGCCTCTAACTCGCTTCTCTGCCAATGAATCAGCTCTCTCTCTCTCTCTCAACTTGCTTTGTCTCCAGCACACCGCCACTGCCATCCTCCCCTCCTGGCGGGTTACCAACTTGGCCAGCAATCCCTTCCGCCCGGGCAGCTTGAGCCACTCGTGCCCGTTCCGCGCAATGGTCTCTGGGTGCCTCCGGCGCACCTCCAAGACGTTCCGGCAGTGGCGGCGCCGGGCCTCGTCCAGGTCCTGGCAACGCCCTTCCGGGTTCGGTTGATCTAGACCCGTCTACTGTCTACCCCTTGGGGGGGTGCTTCATCGGTCTCACGGATTTCAACTATGCAGGAAGGTGGTTGGAGACTGCTGGTTGATGCGTCTCCTCAACAAAGAGGCTGGTGTCGGGGAAGAGCTGTCAGAGCCTTGGGCGACCTTTTTGGAAGAAAGGAAATCATTGGAAGGAAATTTATATATTGAAGCTGGGGGTTCCCACATCCGATTTGCATCACGCGATCGAATCCTACTGGTGAAGAACAGGGACTATGACAATGACAGGAATCAGACATGAATCACACCAAGTTGGCTCCCAAACCCACCTCTGCCACGGCTGCCGCCTTTTCCACCCCGCTCCTTGATCATCGGCTCCAAATAAATCCACGTCCTCCTTCCCAAGGGCATCTCCCAAGGCCGGTGAATCCACTCCGCCGGGCAGCTGCGCAGCTCCGGCACCCAGCGGCGCACGTAGGTGCCCAGTGGGTCGCAGCTCTTGGCCGCGTTCACCGGGTGCAGCACGAACTCCCACTGATCCGGCCCCGAATGACCACCGTTCTGCCACCTGCACCGGTGGATGTTCGTGTGGGAGGGCCAGTAAGCCGCTGCACCCGTGCCTTTGGGTAATTCATGTGCATGTGGTGTTTTTCACATTGACCGAGTCAGGGGGGGAGGCCTTTCGGAGCAGGTTGGCCGGCCGAACACACGTGGCACCCCGCGTGTTCGGAAGTGACCATCGGAGCCCCGCTGGTCGCGATGAGCATTGGTTTCCGTCGAAACTACTCCGGGACCTCGGGAGCACCCCGCAGATCCCCCCTGGACATCGACGTTTGGATTAAGCTCGGGGCGTTCGTTTTCGTTCGCGTTAAGTGTACCAAGTACTCCAATCAATGAATCAATGGATGTTCTTGATAACAATCTCCCCATTGATGTCGAGAGTCCCGCCTCTTTAGTTTTTTGGTCACCTGGTCAGTGAACTGATTCCCTTAGGCTTGACAATATATTCCGGTCCTTCAAAAAAAGCCACGGAAACGCATTCCTTGTGGGCGCTAGCAGCAACCTCTTGGAGTTGGCCAAAATGCGACTCACATTCCATGGAAGTGGAGAACACCCTGTTTGGTAGGAGGAGAATCGTCTTCTCATTGGCCATGCCATCCACTTCCACATGATGTCTTCATCGGAGTTGCTACCAAGAATGAATACCTTTCTTACATGTTCTGACCAAACTGAGCCACATGAAACTGTTGATGGCCACATCCGCATCCACCAGCGTCCAGTCAAACCAGTCCTTGTTTCGGCAGCAAAAGCCAGTCGTTTTGAAGACACGAGCGAGGGATGGGAATGATGGACCTCTATGTAAATGGGTGTCATATCAGAATGGCTGAGGCCCCCAATGCCAAGTCATCTTTGGAGTCTTTGGGCAATAATAATGAAAAGCTTTTCCGACTTCAAATCTCGGAGATTCCAGCCCATGCTTCCAGCTGATGTCCAAATACTCAATGAGCATCTGTGCGACCACATGCCGCACATAGTTGGGCATCCATCCCACGTGCCACAGCTGCCGCATGGCGGCATCCACCAAGGGAAAACCTGTGACTCCCTTCTGCCACTTCTTCAGCTCAACATCTGTGCCATTCCACGCCTGCTCCTCGTACTGCAGACGCAGGGAGGTGTGCGGCAAAGAGGGAAATTCCCAAAGGAACCAATACGCCAGGTCTCGCCACATGAAGCGCCGCAGGAAGGTGGCATTGGCCTTTGGCCGCTCCTGCTCGTATCCTCAGTCAGATCGTCGCCGGTCAGATCGAGGCGCTTCGGTGCGCTTCGGAGGTCTGCTTAGCCCCAATGGGAATTTATCCCCCAGCTCCTTGCTTGTCCCTTCTTTGGACTGACCATCAAAGCCTCACTACAGAGCCAAATTGGCTACTTTGCAAACAAGTCTCCGTATCCTGAATGTTGGAAAATCTTCTGTTCCGTCCTCTGCGCACACTGAGACCTCGCAGCCCAGTACACGAACCTCGCTGAAATCTCCCCAAAGCGAAGATATGGCGACAGCTCACTGGTGTTCTTCTCGTCGCTCAACAGGCGCTTTCGGCCCTGAGAAGTTCGCAAGATCATCAAACACCAACACCTCGCTACACAATATCAATTGGTTACCCCTTTGAGTCGACTGGAGGTTAAGGGGTCTAAAACAGACCACCTCGTGTGGCAAACGCTGGCCCATTCGATGGCCGATCATTTCACACCCCAAACAGGATATGGAGCTATATGAAGCTTGCAGCATCAAAAGGTGCAAAATGGGACATCGAGCAAAAGCTTTCAGTCTCGCACCTCAAAGTCTCCCCTCGCCAGCACCTCCAAGAAGTTCTTCAACCTCTCCTGGGCTGCCTCCTCTCCCACACGCCACCAGGCTCGTATCCCCCGCGCCCAATCGCGATGACTGCCAGCGCCAGGCTGCGACTGCCTTCTGCAGCTGGTGAAGCCAATGCCCCGAGTGTCGCCCAGGCCCAGCACACACAGCGGCTCCGAACGCAGCACAGGCAAAGGGGGCAAACGCACGACGGCCGCCAACGGCTTGGCGGGAAGGCCCAATTCCTCTAAGGCATGAGCCAGGAAACGATAGCTGCCAAAACCACTCAAGTGCTCCTGAGTGGAAAAAGGCACTGGTGCAAAAACACAGGGCTCCAGTCTCTAGACTGGTTTCCAATCTCGTGTTTTCAACAGGAAAAACTAAACAAGTCAGGGAAAACTCAAAGCTGGGTGATCCCTTGCCATTCAACCGCTTCTCAATGAAGGGGGATAGACATCCTTGTGAAACTTTGGGCGCACATATGGTTTCATAAGAGATTCTAGGAAACATAGTGTGTTTGCCAACTCTTGGGCTAGCGGCTTCAAGTGTGTCCATTTCTACTACCTCTGGTCCTCGAAAAGAAAGTCCCCAAACCATCTTTTGAACTCCTCTAAATGATTTCTATGCCGTCGGTCCATGCCCTTTCAGCCGACACCCACCTTCTCTCGGTCCCACAGAAATCCAATCAACCAGAATTGCTCATGTTCCATCAAAACCAACAAAATACCAACAAGGGCCTGAAGCAACCATAAGGGGTATTAACCTCGTTTTGATCAGAGAAAGCGGGCTGCCCAGTGCACCAGTCTCTCAAGACCCACCAGTTCCAGGTCTCAAGACCCACCAGTCTTGAGACTTCGGGATCCGGAGACCACACAACCTGAAGTTCCCCAGGATGATGACCAGTGGGGGATCTTCATCGTTCCGAATCGTTCCTCCCAGACGTTCCTACCATCGGGGTGGCATTTGCGGTGGGGCTTTGGGGATGTTTTGACAGGTACAGTAAATGTAGGCGGTTGTTACATAAAACCACCAAGTTTGGAGACGTAAAGCAACTCTTTGGACGAGGGGTTGAAATATCATCAACAATCTACAGTACCCATTCTCCACTTGATCTGATTGTTATTCCTCATGGCACTATGTGGCACTCCCAGGTGGTGGCACCATGTGTCATTTCAAAAAGAACGCTCCAACTCCAGGCGTCGAGGCCTTTCTGACGTCCTCCAGCCTCACCGCTCGCGGCCCGCACCCGTGCACGCCAGCGCTGCCAACGCTCAATGGGCTGCAGATCTTGGGGCTCATAAAGCACATTGGCTGGAAAGCTCTCCACCTTCAGACCAGCTCCTTAGGATTTAGCAGACTCTGGACCAGCTCAAACCATCAACATCATCAACTTCACTTCCCCGGCTGCGAAAAGGCCCAGGGCTGAAGGCCGTTTGAGGCTCGAAGTTGCACTCTAGCTGCCCCGATTTGGTGCACCATCATGAATCGCGAATCAAGTGTCCAACCAAGCTCGGGAAAATGCATCGTAAATCATACTGAGGTGAACTAAATGTGTATATATATAGATATATGTGTGTTTGTTACCGTATATATATATATAGATGATCCAGGGACCTTTTGGGATTATTTTGTTTGTCCTTGCCATGTTTTACAGAAGCAGCCACGGACATTTTCTTCAGCCAGTGGCCAGTGTCTGCGCTCGAAGATTTCGAATCTTAGATCTCCCAAGTCCAACTCATGCTTCACGCTCTGATACTTCTTAGAGTGGCTTAAGCCATGCAAAGGATCAAAGGACTCCGGTTGCTATCTTAACATTCAATGCACCACCTGCAGTCAGAAACAGCGAGTCGGAATGACATAAGACATGTGTCACCCGCATGCCGAACAATGCTATGTCTGACGGACTACTTGTTGAATTCAACTATATATATATAGCTGTTCAGCTTTCCCAGCCTGCAAAATGTCGGTCAACACACTCGCAGTGTGCGGCGTAGAAGCCAACCTGCCACCGTGCAGCAGCTGCGTTTCCACGCCCGCCACGTCATTCGCGCGGAATAGCTCGCCAATGGCACCCATGTGAATGCACACATCTGCAAGGCCCTCTTGACCTGCATTCCTCTGAGCGCCCACCGTACGTTGCAGCTCGGCTTGCAATTTCGGGACGCTTGTGGCTTGATAAAGAATCCAGGGGCTGCCCGAACCCTTCCTTGGCAAGGACATCTCTCCAGCGGAAACCATCTGGTGGTGATGTGTGATCCTCCGACAAGTTGCACGCAGCTTCTCCAACAGGGCGTGGTGGTTTGTGGTGGCTGGTTGCGTCGCGTCATCTGGCCAACGAAGCTACGCACCTCTTCCAGCGCTTTGTCTAAAGCCCTCAATCGCTGCCTCTCTGTCGCGACTTCAAACTCATCCGCCTGCAAGGCACATGGATCTTTCGGCTTTTGCTTCTGGCCACATCTGTTGTCCGAGTCATCTGCTGTCTGCCTCTTGCCACACAGACCGGCCGCGTAAAAGCGAAGCGCGACGTCTGTCCGTATTCAAAGTTTGTTTGAGGGCTTGTTGCAGTGGATGTGTAGGCAAGAACGTGCAAAGAGTATGAAAGATGTATGAAGGGTCTATCGAGAATAAATCGTTAACACTGCCCTTGCCTGGCGCAGGTGCCCTGGCGTCGCAAGACTGATGGTTCCACATTCGCACTGCAGCACCAATGAGCACTCGCGCGTCCGTGTCGGAGACTTGCGTCTCCTTTGTCAGATCACGACACAACTGGTGCACGATGTTAAACTTGAAGCCCTGATGGTGTACAACAACTTGCTCCGCTTCACCTTGTT